TAGTAGGTACTGAAGTGAAAGGCATGCATGGAGAAATTGTGCTTTGCTGTCTCAGCATCCTTCAGTTGAGTGGTCCTGGGTTGCTCTGTCAGTCCCAGCACAGCAGTATTTCAGGGAGGATTTTCCTTTGCAAATACACTATTTTATGTTGCCAAAGGCAGTGTTTGCTGTAGCAGCCAGGTGGAATGTCTAAATGAGAGTGCACTGGTGGTGCTGCAGTGTTGCAGTGGGGATGGACTGAGTGAGGGATCCACAGCTGCCATGACTTTAAGGCCCTTCTGGGTCATTTTCCCAATCACAGTCTGATATGCAGTCTGATATGGCCTCTTTTCCCAGGCAACAAACAGGACCTGAGGAAATGGCCGTAAGCTCAGTAGCTTGTGGTAGCAGTGGGTAGTGTGAAGACGGTTGGACTAGATGATCTTATAGGTCGTTTCCAACCTTGTGATTCTATGAGAAGTTGTACCAGAGGAGGTTTAGGTTGGACGGAAGGAAGAACTTTTTCTCTCAGAGAGTGGTCAGGCTCTGGAATGGCTGCCCAGGGAGGTGTTGGAGTTGCCATCCCTGGCTGTGTTCAAGAGACATCTGGATGAGGAGCTACGAGATATGGTTTAGTGCTTGTGGTAGCAATGGTGATGGGAGGACGGTGACTAGATGATCTTGCAGGTCATTTCCAACCTTGTAATTCTATGCATGTTTTGTATAACTTCTTAAAAATATATTGAAGCAAAATGGCATTCTTATATTACTTAAAAGAAAAATGTAGATACTTCTGTGATCATTGATAAGAGATGCTTGCAGATTTAGAAAAGCATTAAATATTTTCAACTCAATTTCATGTTTAATGCTAGCTTAGCAGAAAGTTTGAGTGTGTGATCTCTCTCTGTACTTTGGCTTAGATTAAATTCAGCAGTGTGTGTTGGTGGGTTGACTGTCACAACAGCACTGCCACCATTTGCAGCACTTTCTGAAGACCCGTGTTGTGCTACTTTTTCCTGGTTTTACAAAAAGAATACCCTGTGCACTGCTGCTATTGTTTTCTTTGTCTTCCAGGTGTAATACTATAATGTGTTAGGAAGTTCCCATTATGAAATACCAGGAAATTTATTTCATGTGTGAGCTGCTGTTTGTTTCAGTTTTGAACCGCTTGGTATGACATGAGGAAGAAGAGAATAACAGAAGTAACAGAGGGCTACAACAAAATACAACTTTCTCAACTATTCAGAGTATCTCCTTTTCAATACTTGAGGTATATTCCTTTTGTATAGAAGCTTTCATGTGTTAGTGTTTAGACATGGATGTGCAGAAAAGCTGCTTGTTTCAGTCTTTTTACAAGTGCAAATCTGCTCTGTGTTTAGTTGCTGTGTTGCTGAAGGAATTCCTTCTTTCAGCTCGATGCCTGCCCTGGCTCTGAGCTTGTGGGACAGTGAGAAATACGGCAGACATCACTCTGGGCAATGTGTGCTGAGCAGACGTCTGCTGTGCCTCGTGGCAGCTTGTGGGGCGTGTGGGGCTGATAGCAGAGCTCACGTGGGGCAGCCTGTGCTGCAGGAACATTTGGTGTGACACCAACTATGTGTGTCTAATGCTGCTCTGTCTCATAGGTGCAGATCTGACTCAAAGGGCATGGAATTCTTTTTTTTTTTTTTTATTAGTTTATTTTGTTTTCCGATGTGTTGTCCAAGCATTCAAATGCCTCACATTCCAGTTTATAAATAAATGCAATCCTTAACCTTGCATGCCATTACAACTGCTTCTTCCATTAAGATAGGTTTCCATTTTTTCTGCTATTTCCACTTTAGTTTTTACAGTGATCAGAGAGCCATAGCAGTTGCTTCTAAGGCCCTTCCCCACCTATTTCTCTCTGACTTATAGTGGGGGTGGTTTCTTCTCCCTTTGATTTTCAGATGTTTGACTTTATTTATTTATTCATCTATTTTTGTTTACGGCCAATTACCGTCAAACCCTGTGCTGCTTATTTTATATAGCTTTTAATTTCAGGGCACGGTTAGTCTCACTGATTTACATAGGTCTTCCCAGTTGCAGTTCTGTGGAGCACCCTGTGGGCTGTAATAGTATGTATGACAAAGCTGATTTTCCATACTCAGCCTCCTTCTGGATCTTACAGATGTTTTTCAATTTGAAGACATTCCCTATGTAATACATGCACAATGATGCTCAGTAAAATTGTATCAGTGTCCTTGTCTAGTTCTCATACTGACAGCAAACTGTATTTATAACACTGAAGACGGATTTTGCTTTGCACAGGCTAATGATTTTAATACCTTTAAGACTGCAAACATAGAATCCGTGCCAAAGTATGCTGAGCGGAAGCAAATCAGATAGCTGGAAAATAATGGAAACAGCAGTTGTTTGTTAATTTAGGCAACAAATGGCTGAAGTTAATTGCAGTGTTTTTGAGGAACCCTAATTATTAACTGTTTCAGCTTCTATTTCAGGCATACTGAATCCTGCAGTTCTACAGCAGTAGAGCTAGGATATTTCTGTCATTGACAGAGTTAAGAAATTGCCAGAATAACACCAGAGGTGAATTATTGGAAGGGAAGGTGGAGGCAGGCAGTGGAGGGGGGGGTGGAGCAGCGCCTGCTTTCCCTTCCAGCTCACTCTCATTTTCATTTAGTGTCAATTTACTTAAGGACAATTACTTCTCATTAGAAAAGAGTGGCTTGTGTTTGAGCAGCAGCCTTTTCACGTTGGGTGGAGCAGAAGAAAAATTGGAGCTGACTCCTCTGTGTGAATGAGGAAGTCGTCCACCTGCTTCTGGAGAGAGAAGGAAATTGCTGCCTGGAGTACACAGCATCAAACCATCAGCCCTGTTCAGCTCTCTCTCACCAAAGATGTCCCTCGGCCTGCCTGCCTTGCTGGGACACACAAAAGTAAAGTGCTGCTAAACTGAGCTTGAATCCTACTGTATTATATTCTTAATACTGGGATTCCTTTTCTTGATCTTTTTAAATGATTTTTTTTTTCTAGCTGTTTTGACTTAAAATGGCAACAAATTTAGGCAAATTAATCTGACAGTTATAATTCAGGGGACCACTTAATTTTAGCATTTCATTTTTTCCCACACCATCTCATTTCAGGCTAAGTTTAAATTGGTTTTTTATGCTGTACTTCTAAGTGGCTTAAAGCACCTAGGTTGTGCTTCTGCTCTGAATTTCCCTACTTAGGATGCTCTCCTTCCACTGGTCATGCATGGAGAGGTTGCAGACTGATTGTAATACCCTTTTAGGTTTTGATGTTAGCTAGACACACGTGCTTTTATTAATACACAGGAATTTTTGTTTGTAGTTTTAACTTTCCAAAGCAAGCAGAAGGGATGGGAGACCTTCGTGGAATAACTGGAAAGCAATTCAGTTATAGTTATTTATATTGAAATTATATTGAGAATGTGGGTTATATTGTGTCTGTATAGTAAAGCTTGCAGTGACTAGTCAAGTTTCTTGAAGTTTTTCATCTGGAGCAACAAATAATTAAGCAGTCAGTACAGATGGAAGGAACCAGCCGTACATTAAATAACATGGCCTCAGGCAGGCGTCTTTTAAACATACGACAAATTATTTTTACTTTAGTCAAAAATGGAATTCTTACCTGTAATCCTTAAGGGAAAATAGAAGGGAGAAAAAAGCATCAACATGGTGGGTTATTTCGGTTAATTTCATTTATGTATTTATTTAGAAAAACAATTCTGTTACTAAAAAAAAATACTTTTCTTACAGTCAGAAGCAGATGCTCCTGATCATCCTTGTGCCATTTGTAGTGGTTTTGCTGGATCTGTGAGACAGTTGTAAAAAGTTGTATGGGAAAATAACTGACTACATTGATTGCACTTCAGGGAGCAACCCTGCAGCACAGCTAAAGCACACACAGCTGGGAGAAATTTGGTGCTGCTCTGGAGATAACTTGAGTATACTTGAGTATATGGTTATGCTGATTGTTAGTGCAAAAATATAATAAAAATTAAACTTGAAGAGAGTCATTAAAGGGGCTTTGAAATTCAAATTGTTGAAAATGCAGTTTAAAAAGTTGTGCCTCTCACTGTTTATATGTATAATAGGTTATTAGAGAAAATAACTAGTCACCATTGCTATGTAAAGCCTGTTACACTATGTTACAGTCTGTTCTGCTATGAAGAGATTAAGACTTTGCAATTCATTTGAGACATTGCTTTACAAAAGTCGGCAGATGTAGGTCACGGATTTTTAGTGTGTTCAGAGGCTCTTCGTGTTTCAGTAGTGTGACCTGCGTCCTGTCATTGAAGTTGGTCACAACATCAGAAAAACAAACTTTGTTTCTGCTGAACTACACTTTTTTACCTGTCTTGCCTGTGTGGAAGAGACAAAATTACTAACCATGCTTTCCTTCTGGAAAACTGCTTCTATTTGTTGTTTTCCTGTTGTGATGGGTACTTTCCATCCACCTATATACCATCACTCCTCTGCCGCTCACCGAGTTCTGCAGCTCTTAAAAATGGAAATTATTAAAAATTGCTTTTGAAGAGCTGTTGGGAGAACTTAAATCCATGTATTTGAGATTCAGCTGAACGTAATAGATATTTCTAATCGTAATTTATTGATATTGCAAAAGACCTGGCACAAATGAAAGGAACAGTTGCAGTCGGAATTCTGGCAGTCGTGTTAAAAGCCTTTGAAACATGAGAGGTGAAGTTAGTTGACATCTTGCACTAGCTGTCAGCTATGCTTATTATTTCTTTTTAGCTTGTTTGTGGTTTTAAAGCAACAGTAAATTCCAGGTGTCACTATAAGGCATATGCCTGGGCTTGTATTTGTGTAGTTTGGAAATGAGTTCATATTTATTTCCTTGAATTCTGATTATCTTATCAAGAACACTATGTATTTAATGTGTTGTTCACTTGTATATAGTGTTTGTATGGAGATCACCAAGTTTCCTGTGTTATAAATAACTGGATATGAACAATCAATACATATTTTATATTTTTCATTTGTTTTTCTTTTTAGGTCCATTTTCCAGATACAGAAAGAGCAGAATGGCTCAACAAGGTAAGGGCAGCAATTAGCACTGCTTCCCAAAAAATCCAAGGAGGAAGGGAATTCAAGATCTAAAAGACAGTGGGGAAGAAAAGAATCTGAGAATAGGATGGTTTTAACTTTCTGTGCTCTTTTTACAAGTTTCTGGTTGCTGATCCAGTCAGCCGTGAGAAAGAGCTGTGATAGATTACATCTGTTTTCATGAGGTTGAGATTGTGTGTGATTTTTGGAGAGTGACTTTAGGTGGCATTAGAATAATGACAGCTATAATTGTGTGGAAGTCATCACAGCTGTAAACACAGTTTTTTATGTTCTACTTTTCTGGGATGCTTTCCAGTTGCTGTAAGTTCCTGACCTACAATCTAAAAATAAATCAATTTTGCAGTTTTGATTTGTGTTTGTAATAATAATTTAAGATACTGATCTGTGTAGCTTGGATTTATTTAAATGCGTTTCATTCAAAGATCAAAGAATGTGAGTTCATTAGAAAATAGTAAATAAAGTGTATGTACTTAACATTCAGCATGTGCAGGCTGCATGTGAATACGTGTGATAAAAGAAGAAATATCTTAATATCATTTTATTTCCTTCTTATGTCTGTAATGAACTGTCTACAAAACTGACATGTTCAAAACATTGTACAGTATTTCTTAACATCTGCCTTCAAAAATATTTTTAGTTACTTCTGAAGCTGTTTTATAAGTAAGTTCTTTTTTTTCTTTTCTCTTTTTCTTAGACAGTAAAACAAATGTGGCCTTTTATTTGCCAATTTATTGAGAAACTCTTTCGGGAGACCATAGAACCAGCAGTAAGAGGAGCAAACAACCACCTCAGTACTTTCAGTTTTACGAAGATTGATATTGGTCATCAGGTCAGTTTCTGGTCAAGTCTTTTTAAAAGGCTCTGCCTTAAGTACTGTTTTCACATATCCTGTTTAAATCTACACAGAAATGGTTTTTGGTGGTGCTTGATGAGCATGATGCTGATTTCTGGTATAACATTAAAATAAAAATGTGGCTTTTTTTAATGAGTTTAGATTTCATGGTGAGGTTTTTGGTTTTTTTTAATTATTATTTTTTTGCTATCTCTACTGCAGAAGTACAGGGTGAAGTATAGCAGCATCTAGTCATGTGAAGAGCACATAGCAACATGATCTTAATACTGTTCATGTAATGCTTTAGACTAAATGAGCAGGGAACATTATCCTTTTCTTATCAGATGTTCCAAGTGCAATTATCTTGTTTTGTAACAGATGTACTTGATGACATGTAATGTATGGAGTCCAGTGACAAGGCTTCTGGCTCAGCTTTTCACACTACTGTGTGTTACAGTTTCAGGGAACAGATAGATGTTCACCTGCTGTTCAGTCCCATGAAGAAGGGATCATAGTATATAACTCATGAGCCTGCATTGGACTGTTTGACCAGTCCAAGTAAGAACAGGTTAGCACTAATTGCAATAAGTTGGGCACTACTTATTCTTACCTGCTTCAACAAATATTTTTACTTTTTGAGAAGGTGAAAAGCATACAAAGTGCTGTACCTGTTGTGTTTTGTGCGTGTGTGTGTGTATGTGTGTGTGGAGTTAGTGGTTTATTACTTTTTCTGACTAAATTATTGTAAGGAAAAGTAGTTTTAATTGTAGTTCTACCTGGACAAGGAAGTGACACAATACTGTGACAGCATAAGATGTGTTCTAGTAGAAAGAAATCAGATGTTTACTAGAGAAGTTGAGGTAGAGGTTTGGTATAAAGCTTCTAGTAAACATTGGCCTAATAAACATTGAAATCTAGTGGTCTAAACCAAGAGTAATTGTCTGAAGGGTTGTCTGAAGGATTGAATGGATCCTTCCGATTGTCTTCAGCTAAACTGATAGAATTACTTCACACCTTTGATAGTGCTTATAGTAAATGTCTAATTTGGTATCTTCACACATAATTAGGTGTATATGCACCTTTATTTCTAACTGAAGAGTTTAACATTGCATGTATCAGTAAGAAAATTCAGCTTCAGTTTTCTTCTTTTTTTTCAGCCTCTGAGGATAAATGGTGTAAAAGTGTACACTGAAAATGTGGACAAAAGGCAGATCATTTTGGATCTTCAGATCAGGTGATCTTTATTCTCATATTGCAGCAGTGCCTATGCTTTAGAATATGTCTTGTTTGTTTAAGTGGGTGGTTATGTTGGAGTGGAAGGAGAAGAATTGCTTTGGTACACAAATGTTGTTACTTCTGATTGCAGGTGAATGGAGGAAGGAACTGTATGCTGTAAATGGCATTTAAATGAGGGAAATAATATATCAACTCTCTGTATGACTGCATCATTAAATTAACATTGGTTAACTAAAAAAAAAGATTTCCAAATCTAAAGCATGATCTATGAGTTACTGCCTTTTTTTCTAATTCATTACAACTTTGCCAAAGGATTTGGTCTCTATGACTTGTCTTTTCTCAATTTCTTAGATTCTTTATAAACACAACATTAGATAAAGAGAATGGTTGCTGCTTAAGTAACTTGTGGTCATGCCTCCAACTGTAGTAAATCTATGTATTATATAATGGCAATTGCTTCAGGTTTCTTTGCCCTTTCATATAGGTTTATAAATAGACCTACCCTGTGCTTGCCAAAGACTTTCTTCAACAGTATCTGCAGTTACAGGGTTTTTTGAAAGCACGCTCAGTGAACCCCGCAACATTTCTGTATTTAACAGTCATAGATAAGTACTATGGTGACTATTTTGCCTGTTTGTAGCTTGTGGAAAGGCTGATTTGTCAGTCCATTGTAATCCTGCAGAAAGCAGCCTTCTGCATTTCTTCCTGCTTCCTCAATAGTAACTGAAAAGATAATTAGGCATCTCAGCCTCTGTTTTTCAAAGTCAGTTCCAACTTTAAACTTGATTGTTTTTAATTTTGAAATATTGTTCTAAATTCCAGCTGTGTTTATGACTGTAGGCTCCTTTTTCTAAGGTGGGCTCCAGAGTGTTAAGATCTAAATCTGTTACTGCATCCTGAGCTTCAGTTCTGGGAGGTTGATTACCTCTGTGAGCAAGGGCCAAAAAAATTCCAGGAATGTCTTATTTCCTAGACTTGAGTGAAATCTCCAGCCATATGTTACATGGCATGACATTGCAACCTAGTTAGAAAAGTGATAACAGCTGGAGAAGAATCCAGTCTAACAGGCTGAAATAAATTCCTTGAAGTAGTTTAAATAACAAGCCTAACAGCCTGACACTGCTACCAGCAGTGCTGTCTTTCAGGCAGAAAATGGAAATTGAACTACAGGGTGACTATCATAGCTTCTAGCAATTGAGGCTAGAATGGAGAAATTTGCTACCATTGCACTGGTAGTAGACAAAAATAAAAATTGGTTTAGTAGACCTTTTAAAATAATGAGAGTAGTTCAGAATATGAAATTACAGATCACTGTAATCTGGGAAATGTATTTATGCTATTCTTAAGGCTTTTTCCTCTGGCTATTTCCTACTGGCTACAGTGATCACATAAAGTGTACTTGGCTTCTGATCTGATTCAGTACAGCTATTCTTGTATTCACACAAGTCTGTCCTCATTAAACTGTAATCTATCCCTGTGGTCTGTACATTATGGGAGCCATAATTTTACTGGGGTACTATGATCTGAATGTATAGAACTTGCTGAGTAAATGAGTCTTCAAGTTGTATGTTAATGTTGCTGTGAAGTTTTATGCTACTTTGACTGTTGATAGACCCAGATAAATATCTTAATGGATAAAGTCGTGTTTAACTTCATTGTCAACAACTTTCAACCTTACATTGCATCCTTAAATGCAGTTCATTACTATTTCTTACTCCAATTAGTAATCATTTTATTGTGGATTGTCAAATGAACATATTGTTTCCCAGTCATCATTACACAAATAACTCTGATATTATGTAGTGCCAAGACTGAAGTTTCAGTTGCAGGTTTGAGTCGGCCATTCTGTAATGTTGTTACATAAATTTATAACGTATACTTATGGAGTTGGCTGTGTGTGTGTGTATAAATAACTACCTAGTTGGATACAGATATAAAAAGAAATTACATCGTTTAAAATTGTGTATTAAAAATTATATACCTATTTTTAAACTGCATTCTTTCCAGAGAAAGCAATGGGCACCTTCCTAAACCCATTGTGTTGTTTTCTTCCAGTTCCCCAAACTTGTCATTTTGAGTAGTCTGAAATAAATTCCAACCTTGGGCATTACAAGAATGTTTTGCTGCTCTTCTGCTTTTCTTTTTTGCTGTATTTGTTTAAAATCAGATAGCATCATCACACACAGAGCACAGTAAACTGCAGGTGATTTGAATAACAGATGTGAATGCAGCCACTCTTACCTTCATTCTCTTGATTCTGCCTTGTGGGTGCTTCCATTTTCTTCATAATTTCCCAGAAATAATTTCTCTGCAATAAGATTACATCAGATTTCTAAAAATGGCTGAACAGTTTTTTTCTCTATACAGCTTAGGTCTCTTGGAAGTTAATACAATTCTGCACCTAGAATACTTTAAGTGACAATCCTGTATTGGTAGCTCCATCTTACTACCTCTAATGTTTCTGTATGCTAGAAAGGAAATGACGTCAAACTTGAAGCTGTATTTCAGCAAAGCCATTTGACATATGAAGAGTCACCAACGTCCAAGCCAGTTTGTAACCTCTGCTTACGTTATCTAAAAAGAACCCAAATGTTTCTGCTGTTAGGTTATAAAATGAAAGTATCTGTTAATCAATTCATATTTCAGGATTGAAGTGTGCCAGTTCTAGGATTTCTCAAGCAAGTGAGATTGACCTTGTTTTTAGTATTATGACACTGTTTGGGCTCCTAAGGATAAGCTTGGAAGAATGGAAAAATACCTGTCTATTTTATCAACAGATATCTACTGTAAAAATAAAAATGCATCTATCCTTACTGCTTGAATGACTTGAGGAACTAATAGTAGTGCCAGATCATTGTCCTAATACTAATAGTAGTGCCAGATCATGTAGTTTGAATTGAAACTCAACGGAACAGAAAATCTTGCAGTAACTCCAGAAGCAGCAGGAAGAAATTAAACGTGCAGAAGCTTTGGTTTTACTGGCCAGCATGTGCAAAATTTTAAGCATTTGACCTAGGGAGGGGTGCTCCAGAAATGAGGTTCAAGAACTCCTCAGGGAAAAACTTCAGTTGTTCTTAATATTATTTTCTAATTTGCTTCCATCCTTCCTTCCCCTTCAGAAAAGGCTTGTCTCTTTTGGCTTAAGCCTTGCTCAGTGGATCATCCTATAAGCATGCTCAGGTTACTGAATTTCTAAATATTGTCTGTTTTTACAAGTCTCTGGATAACTCAAAACAGCTTCCATTTGTAGCAAAATAACAACCTCAGCATAGTGCTTCTTTTATTATGTTAGATAAAAGTGGATCTAGGTCTACATAATGTCACTGAGATTTGTATAACAGCTTTCCTAGAATTTCCCAAAATTAAGGCTACAACTGTGTTTTGTCTTACATATGTTTCTGGACATGATAACATACATCTTTGTATTAATTTCTGGGTGTTTTGATAATAGTGTTGATGCTATGAGGCGGATAGAATGGCTTGGTTTGCAAGGGACCCCAAGGATCATGTAGTTTTGTTGGATTTTTTATGTGTTGTTTTGTTTTTTAACTGTCTTTATCTTGTTATGTGTTTCATGCTTTTTTTTTTTTTTTTTTCTAATATGTATATATATATATAATATAGGCTGAGATTTAAGACATTATCCTACCTGTGTAGGACATAAAAATGAAATGTATTCCCATACTGTTTTTCTTTCTTAGTTTTGTTGGAAATTGTGAGATTGATCTGGAGATCAAGAGATACTTCTGTAGAGCTGGTGTAAAAAGTATACAGGTGAAGTACAATTCTTTATTTTAATATCCAGTTGTCATTGCACTGCAGTTTGCGGATGAAATAGTTTACAAGTTGCCAGAGAGAGCCACTAATTTTGCGAATTTGTTACTTGCCCTTTTTTGCTTTTTCAAAATTGAATAATATTGATATTATGTAAAACTTAAGTAACATGACTGAGCTGAAAAGAGTACTTTCAGATACAGAATTGTTATAAATCAATACCATATTCTCTGGAAAAGAGAGAATGAAGCTAGTGCAAATGTACATTTGGTGTGTGGAGGAGGAATTATTTATCTTAGCTTTTAGGTATTATCTAATAATGTAGATCACATAAATTGCAAGGGTTGTAAGGGATCTCAAGCTCATTGAATCCAACTCCCCTGCTAATCCAGGTTCCCTACAATAGGTTGCACAGGTAGGCATCCAGATGGGTCTTGAATATCTCCATAGGAGACTCCACAGCCTCTCTGGACAGCCTATTCCTGTACTCTGTCACCCTTAATGTAAAGAAGTTCTTTCACATGTTTGTATGGAACTTCTGTGTTCAAGCTTTTGGCCATTGTTCCTTATCTCTATCACTACATGCCACTGAGAAGAGCCTGGCCTTATCTATCTGCCTCCCATCTCCTTTTGGGTGAACGAAGTGAATTTGTAAGTCCAAGCATTTAATGTGTATGTACAATTTTATGGATTTGGATGAAGTTTTATACATAAATATAAATATGTATATAAAATATGTATATGTAATTCTTCCAAAATTGGGAACTTCATGAATTAGAACTGTGAGCATTGCCAGTGAATAGATTATATTTAAACTTTAAGTGAATTCAATTCCATTCTCTTTTTCTGTTTCTCTCTCCCAGATCCATGGTACTATGAGAGTTATCCTGGAACCACTAATTGGAGACATGCCCCTAATTGGAGCACTATCACTTTTTTTCCTTAGGAAGCCTGTAAGTAGTGTCTTCATTTCTAGTCTCTTCAGGTGATAAACAACTTTAGTCAGTAGATAATGGAGCAAGAAATAAGCAGCAAAAGGAATAGACTTGGGAAATCACTGCCTTTGGTTGAAATTAGTTTCCTATGGAAATAGTGGAACAAATTTTACTATTACTAGAAGAAAACAAGATGAATAATAATTACCTTGGAATTATGAAACGTATATGTCAAAGCTGTCAATTTTCCTTACAAGCCTTATGGTTGAAAGAAGAGCGATAGATACTTTCTAGATGGCTTGTAAGAAAATATTGCTGCTGTTTCTCATGACAGTCTGCTAGAGAGTATGGTCTGTGTTAAAATTCCACCGCATGTGTGCAGAATTGTAAAAACTGAGGGTGCTATTTCCCACAGATTAAAGTCAGAGTATGGAGATAATCTGCTCTGATGATTGAAGTTTTTAACTTAGATGGTAGGCAATTTTCATTACATTTACCAGTGACCCAAGTGTGAGAACAGATATAGCACAGATATGGAATTGGCATTTAAATCGATCATGACAGTAGCAGATTGGGAGATGTCATATAATTCCGTTGGAAGAAGTGCTGGGCTGAAGTTCCTTTCTGGGCAGGAAGAATAGCCAGAGCCTGAGCTGCCAGTGTTTTGCTGGTATGAAAATGGCATAGCTAGACTGGAATGCATAAACAAGAGGAGAGCTTGCAAGAAACGTTCAGTTTCAGGAATAGAACTTCAACAAAGACACTGACCAGTTGGAGAGTATCCAAAGCAGGGAGAAAAGAATTCACTATAAAGGACAGGCCAAAAGAATAGAAATTGTTTAGTTTAGAGAAAATCATGAAAAATGTGAAGAGCTGTTAGAGAAAAGATGTATGTAATGTGCTGCATAAATATAGCATAGGATAACAAATTTCAGCAAGGAAGATTCAGGCTGAACAAGGAGAATGAGGGAAAGCATTGGTAGCGCTTGGGAGTGACTTCAATAGGCTGCTTAAAAATAATCTGAATTTCTGATGTCCTTTAAGAACATATTGGACATTTATCCATTAGGACTGACATAAGTATAGCTCTTCTAATTCAAACAGTTCTGACCTCCCTCAGCCTTCTGGCAGTGCTTTGCCCAGTGCAGCCCAGGATGCTGCTGTGGCAAGGGCACACTGCTGACTCGTCATCAACTTTGTGTCTGGGGAGCACGGGTCCTTTTCTGCCAGGCTGCTGTCTACCTGAGTGATCCCCAGTGGTGTGTATGGTGCTGTTGCTCCCCAGGTTCAGGTACTGCCACTACCTTGTTGAACTTCATGAGATTCCTGTTAGTTTTATTTCTCCAGCCTTTTGAGGTCCTTGTGGGAAGCAGTAAAACCCTCTGGTGTGTCAGCCAGTCTCCTCAGTTTTTTGTCATCAGCAAACTTGATGAGGGTATGCTCTGCCCTATCATCCAGATGTTAATGAAGATGTTACACAGGCTTGGACACAGTATTGATATCTCAGGTACTAGCTTCTAAATAGATGGTGTCACTGATCACCACCTTCCAGGCTGTCTGTTCAGCCAGTTTTTATCCTCCCACACTATCTGCCCTTATGTCAACAGCTTGTGTGTGAAGATCTTATGGAAGACAGTGTCAAAGGCCCTGCTGAACTCCAGAAGGACAACGTTCAATGCTCTCCCCTCATCCATCAGGCTTCAGTTTGTTGTAGCTTGTCACGTTGGTCAAGCATAACTTTTCCCTGGTGAATCCATGCTGATCACTTGTGGTCATTTTTTTCTTCAAGTGCCTGGAAATGGATTCCAGGATTCTAGGACTAATGGCTCCATCCATACGACAATCTTGTTTTAGGAAAATAGGAGTATATAATACATGTTGTGTGCTTGATGGCTGAAAGTTCCTTTGATGTTTTGTGTGTGAGGCAGTTTCAATAATTTGAGCTTCAATATTGTTTTTAATAAGTATAGTAAGAGAGCAGGTGGGGGGCATCATGGAAATTCTTATAACATACAGACTTTTTAAAGAAATTAGTTGTTCCTATCTATTACTCAGAAGTATATTTTGCATTGGAAGGTTTTATGTCTTGGATATTTTCTAATTACAATATAAAAAGAGTGATGTCAACATCGTGCAGATTCAGATTATGCTTGATCATAAATTACAGATATATGGGTTTAGGCATTTTGAAACAGTCTCAAATAGATTATCTTAGTTTCTTCATCACCGTGACTCTGAAAAGTTTATCTTATTTTCATGGTGTGGAGGCATGTAAACATATTCTTTACTTGAATGAAGTCAGAAAATAGGCAATTATATTATTTAGTGAAATCCCATTATTTTAATACAGTTATTTTGCTCGGTCTTATGATATTGGTTTTGTTGACTTGGTGAAAAGGCAGGTTTATGTGAGTGTTTATATATGGCCTAATAAAAAAAATCTAGTGTTGGTTGCTTCTTTCATGTGGCTCATGTCATCATTCTAGTCCTTTGGTGAAAGGGAGGCACTTCATGCAGCACCGTTAAAAACACCGTTTCTCTTATTTGGAAAGGATTGGAGGAATAAGTTGAGATGAACCAAATTTGGATATCTGCACATTTCTGTGAGTCTAAACATTAGGGAGATGTCTGCTTAGTTTTATCTCCTTTTTATCCTCTGGCACAAGAAGTAAGGGTTTAGGGCATCCGTTAACGTTCATGTTTAGACTAGCAAATTAAACAGGGCCATGAGAAGGATTGAATGTTGCATTAGAGCAGTCAGCACCGTGTCATTGTTAGCGTACTCACTGTTTTTATTTCTGTTTAGTGCTCTCCCAATCCATTTCCAGACTCTGTACCGAATGCTTAACTCGTATTACACCTAAGCTAGTAAACTGAAAATTCATCAAATGAAACAATAACATTTGTTATCAGGACCTTACGAGTCCCAGCTTGGGAAAGAGTTCCAGAGTGCTTCCGTCTTTAGTCCTAACCCTGTGCCAACTAATTAAAAGTCTAGTTCACTTAGTATGACAAGAAAAGATGGGGAGTAGACTAAACTAGGAAAATCCAAAAAGTCAATGCCCAACCTAAACTGTTAACAAAATTATTTTTCACCCTATTTTCATTTAAATGCTAAGACAGTGGTCAAGGTCCCAGCAAACTAAAGTGTGGATTGTCCAAAAAAAAAAAATAAAAATCTGTGGATCAAGTTATTCTGTAGTTTTATGTTATACACAGATGTTGATTTTTTTTCCAAGCAGACTTACAGCAGTAAGCAAATTCTGTCACCTTACTAGAGAGCAAGTGGTTGCAGCCAATAAGGGCTTGACTTCACTTTTAGTTTTTTTGTTAGGAGAGAAGAAGAATTAGTTGGCAATAGCAGTAGATTTTGTTCTCATATTTTCCAGTCTAAAGTAACGGGCAACAATTCCACTTGCTCTGTATCATCTGTTTGCTGGCCTTAATGACTATATAAGGCAATGCTGCCCAAATTAATAGTTCTTGAACATACTTGTTTAATGAGTTTGCCAGTCTCGTATTTCTGAGTAATGCATGGAGTATAAAATGCTCCCAGAGTTGTTACTTTGCACAGAGCATTTAAAATACTGTATTTTTCTTAGTGCGAAGAAGTAGAAGTTTCAACAGCTTATAGAGTATGTCTAAATTTGTAAGAAATCTCAAGAAAGAGAAATGCATGCATTCTAATGTTTTGAAGTTGTCTTTTAAATCAGAGCTTCAGCTCTGGATGGGTTAGCACTGTGTAAATGGCCAAGATTTTGAAGTCTTTTACGTGGCTTTTCATTATGTTAACACAGTATACACTTACCATTCATTCTGCTTTTCAAAATGTAGTTATCTTTCAGTTTCATAACAAAATGTATCACATAGTTAATTATTCTGATTTTTGGCTCAGTTGCAGAAATGGCTTCCAGTTGTACTGTGATTGGTAATATTCAAAAGCTTATTTAGTGGCATGTTTGTTATTGAAAACCTGTCCTAAGCCAGCCTCCTTCACTTAAAAAAAAAAAAAAAAAAAAAAAAAAAAGTAAACCAAACCCTGCCCACCTCCAAAAAGCAAAACTGACAACATTTTTGTTCAAAATAAACAAGGACTGGAATGTAGAATGAAATTCCTCTATAGCTCTTACTTCTGTATTCTCTCTGTGCTTGCCACTTGCTGACTTGGGCTCTGCTCTCTAAGTCAGTGTGTCAGGACTAGTGTGAGAGTATGAAAAGTAGAGCTGATAGAAGGATGGTAAAGAGTAGAAATCAGGGGGAATTGGCTTGAATTATAACTTTGAGTAGTTGACTCTAAGAAGATTTTTACAGGATCAGTCATGAAACTTCTTTTGGTCGCATTCAATCAAATTTGCCTGCTCTCTTTGCTGCCGAACTACACCTCTTATCTGTGTAATTATTGTCTTGATTTAATCTTTAGACAGATACAACTGAAAAACCTACTACTGATAAACAGTTCCTGTGCAAAGAAACCCTTCTGTTTCCTATAACAATGATGAAAAATGACATAATTTCTACTTTCTGTGACATTGTATGGTCTAGCCTTGCTCAAGGTGCTGAGTTTATTATGCATAAGTAAGTTTGCTGGGGAAATGCTCTGGAGAATGTTATTTATGAAATTATTAGAACAAACTTACCCTTATTCCTGGATGACCATTCACAAATAACAGAAGAGGGCACATTAGTCCTCATCTCACAGTAGATTTCTTAGAAGGAGCACAGCTTACCACTGGAGTTGCACTCTTGGGCTCAAGAGTGAAGCTCAAATTTGTCCTGCAGAAATCTTACACTTCTCGATCAGCAGGAAGTTGTTCATCAGCATTTTAAAACTTACTTTGTGGTTTTTCTTCTGAGTTACTTGTACTTAGGGCAGTCAAATAAAGCCCCAACATTGGCAATATTTAGAGGTTGCCTTTTGTGCAGCTATGGACTTCTGTAATGGCACTGTATATTCTACATACCAGTTCGTTTGTTTCACTTTATAAAGCATCTACAGTTTTGAAAACACTGAATACATAAATACACTCAACAGTTTTTAGCCTGTGTTTTCTTATGGGCTGGTGCATGTATTTATTTTTTTAACTCTTTAACTGTAACACAAAAGAAATGAAGGAATGGATTAAGAATATCACAAAAGAAATGGATTTTGGAGCAGAATTGTCAGTCTTTCTTGCATGCCATGCAACCACTATAAGTCCATGGTTGAACCAAACAGAAAAAATAAACTAAGCTGTGCTTATCTGTGTACAAAAGAAAAAAGCTAAGTTAAACAATTAACTTTTTAAAATGTTTTACATTTCTATTTCTTCAGTGGTTTTTTTTAAAGGATCTCTATTTTATGGGCGTAGGTTTTTTTCCTATTGCACATAATAAATGGAAGTGTAAGTCACTTATTTACAACACTGTTTCTTGCATTTTAACAAAAGCTGCATAAGTCAGTCATGTCATATCTGCCTTGTTCACATGTGTGCCTCAATTTTTTACCTTTGTTAGAATCTCATCTTCCCAGACTACTGATCTTCACTTGATTTTAGGGAGCGTTCTGTTATCGTTTTAAAAATGATAGAACTATTCTTCTGTACTACTTAAAGATCCTGGGGTTTGTCCTGTGTTGCACGTAACTAATATATAGATTTATGGAACATGTTGATGTAGTTGCAGATTGATGTCGAGCTTTATGTGATTGCTGTAACATCTGCATGGCTGTTTTTTTGTGCCAGTGAGTTTCAATAATACCTGTTTATTTATTTGCATTGTTTTGCTTTATCAGCACTAAGCATCACACCTTGCACATTAGGTACTCTTGAACTCCTTTGCTGTCTCTTGAAATAGAAAAGGTAGGTTTTTTTTTTTTTTTTTTTTTTCCCCAGTTCCTTTTACTGTTGCTTTTCCAGATGATCAATAAGCATTACATGTAACCAACCCACTCCTTCTTTTATATGTAGAAAATATCTGAGAGCTCTTCACTTTTGTTCTGAAAGTTGTCTGAAATGGTTTTTGGAAGCTTTCCACTTCTCACAGTGCTTCTGCTACTGTGCTAGTAGATGAATTCCAAAGCTTGTGGTTCTGAGGGCTTCCCTGCCTTGCCTCAAGTCTCAGATACTGTAAATAGAAGACATAGGGAAGGAGAACAAAGGAAATTACAATTGATATTTGGAACTTGCAGCTTATGATACGGGTTCTGCCGGATAACATGACTATTTGTGATGTCTAATCTTGGTTGAATGTTTGATTAATAAATTCCAAAATTATATGACTGCAAATTCAGCCTCCTGTATGTGCCTCCTTGGAGCACATCTCCCTGTTTGCTGTTACTGATGGCTCAGGGTCTGAAGCAGTAGGCCTGGAACAGCCCTTTAGCACAAGCCTTGAGCCAAGTCAGTATTTAAATGTAGACATGTTCTGTTATTGGAATATCAGTTGCAATAACAAAGTCATTGAACACTGTGAGAACATGTACACCTAATCAATTTATTGCAGATTTTGGACAGTCACTGGTTTTCACATAAAGATTTTATATTCCTTTTCCTTTAATTAGTATAATAAAACATGTACAGGAATAAGGATTTGTGTCTGGGTATGAGTGCCTTTCAGTACAGAGTTGTAGATAAGAAAAATTTCTTCACTTTTTAGAAAGAAACAATTTTTTTTTCCCACTGCTGTCAGCTGAGAAAGAATTGAAAGAACTTTGAGTAACATGGCACATTCTCATTAACAGGAAACTGTAATGAGTGTGTAAAATCCTGCCCTGGGGCAGTTTGCTGTCTGCTAACAGCCTCTGTTTGCAAGACAGATCACCTGGAGGCTGCTGTGAGCTATGGAAGGATGCTGTGCTGTCTCTGGCTATGGGCATAGTTTCACTGAATGACAAACTCTGAACACAGCCTTCACAGTGCCCTGTTAGTTCTGCTGCAAGGAACAGCTGGCACTCCTTGAAGTTAGCTAAACCAAGATAATTATGCATTGCTTGAGGTGGTGGCAGAGAAGGGAATGGTATTGCTCAGCTATTTTGGACACTCGACAGGGTGAAAGTTTTTTTGTTCAGTGTTCTGTTTTTGTTTTAGCGTGGTGTTTTCTGTATTCAGAACTTCAAAAAGTGATTTATTAACTGGTAGTTCTTTCCTTGCTCCCTTTTCTCCATAGGGTATTTTAGGCTGGTGATGATGCTTTAGGGTACTATCAGAACCATAAGTTTTAGGAATTATTTTTATTCTCTTGCAAGTTATGGTATTCAAATATGGCAATTGCAGTTCATTTAACTGCAGTAAATTTGATGGCTTTCTTCTATCTCTGATGAACGTTTTTGTTGTCAGTGCTGATCTCTGTAGTTCTGCAGATATTGCCTGAATTTGGTGTTACCTTTTGGAAAACTCATATTCTCCTACATTAGTGAATTTGTATATTATGATGGAGTCCGATTTTGTATGGAAGCCAAAAGTTCAATTTGAAACAACCATTTTGAGAGGAATTAATATGAAGGGGAAAAAAAACAAAACAAAAAAGCATCTGTCACTAATAGCTGCAGATTAACATCAGAAAGTTTTTCTTTCTGCAGTGATGTCAGGTATGTTTCCAATTAGTGCTGATCTCTTCAGGTAGAACTGGAAGGAAGGCACAGCATTGGGCAAATTTAGCAAGCCTTGTCCACAAAGGCGATTTATCCTCAAAGCTCAAACAGTTAAAGCTTGATTTCTGCCAGGAGTTTGAAAGCTTATATCCCTTCCAAAACATTTCATGGCTTAAGATTTATTTGCAAAGCTCGTCTAGTAATCCTGTAAAGTGCTTAACCTCAGTAATGTTTTTGACTTTCTTAGTTCCAACTTTGAATGGAAGAGGATTTATCTTTAACATTTTGAAAGTTAACCTTTTTCATACTTATTCCTGTACAACAAGAGGATGAATAGGCATTTCTTATTGACACTAACTGTATTTCTTCTCTAAACGACCACCATTATTAGCAATATATTTGTTAAGTTTCTTTCTATGCTTAGTTTTTACATGCTTTATGGTTTGTTGGGTCTTCAGACTAATGACAGTGAATTGGTAGCATTGTTTTTGAGAAGAACTGTGTAAAAATCAAAGTATTGATAGTGAGATTGTACCTCAGGACAATATGCGTTTCATATATTGCATTGCAACCTATTAGACTGATTTAGGTTATGTTAATTGAAAGTCATTCCACTCTCAGTCTCTCTCCTGAATACACAGAGATGCAGGAGTGTAAAGTAATTTAGTGTAAAGTAAATGTAAAAGGAAGCAAGGAAGCTAAAATGATCTTGCAGCAGTTTTCTAAAGGGCTATTAGTAGGCAAGTACTAAACATTAAGCATCTGTTGAAGTCTGTAGGTTTATTGATCCTTTTCAATGATATTGCCTGGACACTAACATTATTGCCTGGATGGTACCAAATTTATTTTCTCTTATAGTAGGTTTACAGAATGGTTGCAGCTGGTGGGCACATTTTCTTCCTAATTATCTGTTACAAATAGTGGTTCATAGCTAAGTGGTTCATAGGTAACATTGTTGACATACTTGGCCACGATTAAAAAACAACATTAAGCAACACTGCTACTTATGTACGTGAATTTATTGTATGTTGTTTTTAGTCTAAGTATTCACAAAGGAAATTACTAATTAAACTATAAACAGACCCTTTATAGAGAATGATATGTACTAGTTTTTAAGTAGAAAATAAATGTAGGTGATTCTTTTTGTTGGTTTGTAGAAAGATGCAGCACAGGCTCTTGAAGAAGGTCTGTTTTCTTCCACACTCACCATTACTAGTCTCTCAACTGAGGAATCTCAGAATCCTTCTAACATTTTTTTTTTCATGCAATCACAGAACAGTTTGGGTTGGAAGGGACACCTCCCACTAGATCCAACTGCCTAGGGCCTCATCCAGTCTGATCTTGAACCCTCCAGGAATGGGGCATCCACAGCTTCTCTAGGCAACCTGTTCCAGTGCCTCACCACCCTCATAGCAAATATTTTTTTCTTTATATCTAATCTAAATCTACACTCTTTTAGTTTAAAACCATTGCTCCCTGTCCAGTCATGATACTCCCTGGTGAAGAGTCCTTCCCCATTGTTTCTGTAGGCCCTGTTTTGGTACTGTAGGGCCACTATAATATGGTTTCCCTGGAGCCTTCTCTTCTCCAGGCTGTATTGAGCTTATATGGCAAAGTTTTGGTAGCAGGGGTGTCCCAGCACAGCTCCATGTCATATCAGAGCCAGCTCCAGCTCCCTTAAAGGGACCCTCTGCTGGGCAGAGCTGAGCCATGAGCAGTGTGTGCATTGAGTATTTGTATGTGGAGAAGGATGGATTATAGGATGATGTGTTGTTTTTCTCATACTGTTTTAGAAGCCATCACTAAAATTATTTTGAATGGAATAGGTTTTGGTTTTCTGTTTTAAAAAAACTCCTGGGATGTTACGATTAATATTAAACTTCTCAGAAGTTGTTATCATCAGATTCATTTCCTCAGTACTATGAATTCTAAGTTGCTTTTCTTGTTTCTCTTTCTTTGTTTGTTTTCTCTCTCTGTAATTCACAGCTTTTAGAAATAAACTGGACTGGACTGACCAATCTTCTCGATGTTCCAGGGCTGAAGTGAGTATATGTAAAGCAGTATTTGATAGTCAATCTCTCCCCCAACAGCAGCCCCCATAAAACCCAGAATAAGACCCACTAACCATTTTAGTTTAAATGACTCTGAGCGTTTATCTCTTTATTTTGAATTAAGTGAAATTACTCAATATGGAGAAGGTAGTGATTATGTGTGTAAGTACATAAAAAGTATAACTAGTACATCTTGCTAAAATAATATTTAGAAAACTCAATTTTTAATCTGCTTTTTTTTTGGTGTTCTCAGCCCTTCCAGATTTCCATAATCTCTTGAATTCCCTATCTGTCATCTCCTACAACAGCAAAAAGATAGATTGTTACTTTATTTTTCAGGCCAGAGTGTTCACAACATCTTGGCTTATGGCTCTGTATGCTGATAAATCTGTAGTTGATTGTGTAAAGATAGCAAGAAACACCTTTAAGACTGTAATCAAGTTAAATAAACTTTCTAATCTTATTGAGTGCTTCCTTTTAGAGCTTTCAGTTTATAATGTAAAGATCAAATGGAGTAGCAAAAACATTAACCATATGTAGTTGGCTTATTTAGAGCTTTTAGGAATAGTAAATGATAAAACCACAAAGAAAAAAGCAGAAGTACAGAAGGAAAATAAATTGTTTTGTATCACTGCAGTTCTGAAAAGATTAAATCCATGAAGACAGTAATACTTACTGAAATTATAATGGTTACCCAGGGGCTTTTTAATATTGAGACAGTGGCTAAGAGGATAATAAGTGGATCTTATACACAGGTTTTGTGACTAGCTCTTTTATTTGAACTCCCACACTCTAGACTGAGCTGATTCCAGTTATATTTTTATTATCTAAAACCAAGAGTTTGAATTTAGATATCAAATTAACACTTCAGTGCTCAGTTGCACGCCTGAAATGATTTCTGCTTTGCTTAGATGTGAAGCCATTGCATGGAATTCCAGTTAAACAGCTTGAAATTAGAAGTTGTATTAATTAGGTTAATGGTTGCAGGAATTGCTCATGTTTTAAGCCTGTTTAAGACAGCCTCCAAGGAAAAAGGTTCTCTTGATGAGTGAGAAAATATCTTCCAAAATAGAGGTCCTGAATAATAATTTGCTCTTCTGAGGTAATACTAATAAATCTACATTTAGTACTTCAACTTACGAGGCTCCTGAGGTATATATCATGCTACTTATTTGCCTGACGGGAAGTGTGAAAACCTGAAATGTAAATGAAGTCTCATTAAGTATCTCAAGTTTATGGTTTCCAGAGCAACCCGGCTTGGTGTATAATGGTGCTGGCTAGATGTGGTATGGTTTCTATAGTAACTGTTTCTGAGATGACTCACGCTCTGCCTCTCCTGTAGATTTCTTCAGTGCTGTATTTGCTTTTCTTATCTGTATAGATGGATTGTATATTTTGGTTTGACAGCCTGGCATATTGCTATTGTTACAAACAGCAATGAACAACAGATTGCTGCTGCCACAGGTACATTTTTCATCCCGTGGCTGTTGGGTACACGTTACTTGTTTGTACTCTGCAGATGTCTTAGTACTACTAAGTGAATTTCTGCATTTGCTACTGGCTGTTGGTGTCAGCTGTTAACAACTTCCATTATTCTTTCTATGTGACTCCATAAGAGAAAAGACACACAAGTAATTCATGTTCTATCACTGATATTGCTCACAGAAGAGTGGAATTAAAATCTCAATATGAGGGAGGTAGTGTGACTGCTCAAGTGCTGTCGGAAGGGGATGTGGGTCACAGGAAAATGAAGTCTGTTGTGGTTGGTTGAGATGCAGTAAAAACACTTTGTGCAGTCAGAGAGGTGCTATCTCTACAGTATGAGTAGAAGACGATTGAGGAAAAAAATTCATAGCTGCTTATTCTCTTAATAAAAATTAGGGAGAGCTAAATAGAGTGCAATTCAGCTGTGTTGTTAACTGCTTGTTATTTTTCTGCAATGAAACTGAGCTTTTGAAGATGCTTATTGTAATAAACTGTGTGAAGCACTTCCCACTTCGCTCATTTTCATGAGCTAAAAAAATAATTGTACGAAAAGATCAATGACCAAAACACTTTAAGACTGCATTATCAACAGTTTTCACATTGCCATAAGGATTTAAATGTGTACTACTGTGTCTATAACTTGATCAATGATTTGCCTCTGTTCTCCATAGGTTAAACTTTTAAGTAATGAAATATTAAAAAAAAAAAAAAATGTTATTTTTACTTTGTATTCATAGCAAACAGTTTTCATCTGGGAGCATCCACGCTGGAAGGTGTCACATTATTAAAAGTTTACAGGTGCTCCATATTTTCAAAGACTGAGTATCTACTACCTGATATGAATCCAGTTTCTCTTTCTAAAATTCTATGAAATTCCAGTAAGGCCAGTTCATTTTTCATCTTCATTTCTCTGACGTTTTAGCAAAATGCAAGTGGTGGCATTCGTAAGTTGAAAACTGGATGTTTAGCAAAACAGAGCTGAGAAAGTTTGAAAAGCACCCATGTGTTACTATGATAACTAAAGGGAGCTACCTAATTTAGAAACATGATTATCTTGTGATAGTGGTTATTTTAAGAATTACTAAAACTATAAATGTGTAGTGTTTAACATTCCTGTAGATTGAAAATCTTCATAAATGTGGCTGTTTTCCCTCATTAAAAGGTTAGCCAAACAAGATAATATCTCTTCCAAAAGACCTTGGTTCTGGCAGTTGTATCAATAGCATTGGTTTGCTGTATTTTTTTTTTTTCCAAAGTCAGCAGTAATACCACATTTAGAGGGCAATAGCATGCTTCTTCCAGACTGGAAGTAATAAACATAGCAAATGTACTACAGTTTAGCACACAGAGCTCAGCTGGTAAGTATTTGAGGTTAATTGGTAATACTCCACCCATTACAGTTCAGTCTGTAATCACAGGCTCCTCTTGTTGTCTCACCATTTTACATTTATTTAGCTATGGTTTATTGGAACCTAGAAACCTCTCATTACTGGTTAAAATTAGGATGTTGGGGGAAGTTCTTTACAGAGAGTGGTGAGGTGCTGGCCCAGCTGCCCTGAGAGGTTGTGGATGTTCCATCCCTGGAGGTGATCAAGACCAGGTTGGATGGGGCCTGGGCAGCCTGGTCTAGTGCCAGGTCTGGAGGTTGGTGGCCCTGCCCGTGGCAGGGGATTGGGACTTGGTCATCCCTGGGGTCCCTTCCAACTCAAGCAGTTCCATGATTCCGTGAAAATTGCTCAAAATCTACTTTTCATCTTTTCATAGAAATTTCACCTAGCACATCTCAGCTCCTTTATTTAGCTGGCAGCCGATCACCGGCTGAGATAAATTTTCACTTAGGAGTTTGAGGAGTTGCATTCATATCTAAGTCTCAGTGAAGTATTTTCAGTGAAAGAGGTTCATGCAGGTGGGTCCCTTGCTTGTTTACCCTTCTGAACTAGAGACCAGGTTGCTGTGTACAAGTGCAGTTTGGCAGGCTTATAATCCTTACTTGTCCTAACACCACCTAGTAGGTGCTTTCGTGGTGAAGGAGGGCAGCCAAAGGATGCAGGCTGTTCAGGTTGCTGATCTCTATCATGGAAGATCACTATGGATTTGAAATAGGCAGACTGTATTTAATGTGTTAATTCTGTTACATATCTCTACCATAGTATGTTTATTGTTCATGAGTAAATTTTCTTCCGAAATGGAAAATATTACATTTATAACATAAATTTATAATATATATATATAATCTGAAGAATGCATGTGATAATCAAACATATTATCTGCATCATAATTTCATAAAGACTGTAAAAGGAGAATCTTAAAGAAAGTGTATGTAGGTGGAGAAATCATTCGACCCCGAATCAGCTCCCCCAGCTTCAGTGTGCGTGCAGTTCACAATGCCTCCACTATACCTTTTTTTTATTGTTTTGTCTGGGAATCCCTCTAGTACCACTGACCCTCCCCTAGTTCCTGGTGTGTTTTGGCAGAACAGTGAGCCACTGGTGTTTGTACTGATTTGTGTCAGTTCAGACCCAAACTGGGTGAACTCTTAGCTTAGGAAACCTTCTCTAATTGGGGATCTGAGTTTTTAAATGATTCATTACCACTGTGTTTGTGCTGCCACTCCCTTTTTTACCAGCACAAAACCTGTTTTGCCTCCCTAGGCTATATTTTATTTGTCCACAAAGCATGCTTTCTTTGTGTTGCTGTTTAAATGACAGCCCTAGCTCCTGAGGACAACTTGTTTTGTAACAATACAACAGTGGGTAGCCAAACTTTCAGGGACAGTTATTATTGAAATGTGAAAGTAGATTAACAGTTAACATCTGCTTGGTTGTGTGCAACCCTGACAAGAAGACTTATGCAATAGCCCTTCACTCTGGGTGACTTTGGAAGGGGGATGGGAACTTCGGAGAACTGTATGTTGGTGTCTTTGGTTTCTGCTATTCAGTATCGGCTGCCTCCACCTGGTGGCTGTTTTGGCAGGAATCCTTCAGTTAAAAAAAAATAAAAATGTTTAAAGGCCAGATTTGACTTCTGCCCCCAAAAAGGACAAATATTTGTCCATGTAGGTAATTGCCAATCAGCAAAAGAGGTAAAAGGTAGCTGATAAAAGTTGCTGTACTATGAGGACATAGCGGTTTTTCTGTTCTGCCCTGATTTCCTTCAGGTGCTGGTTATCTATTCTAAAAATGCCAAAACCAACTCCTAGCTTCTAGATTCTTAGGTTTATTTCAGTATGTTTTTTAAGTTTATAAAAAAAGAACAGGATTTTGGACGTTAATGTGATTGTCTGTGAAGTTTCATGCTTGAGCTGCATTAATGTTTAATTCTCATGAAGTAACTGAGGATTATTTTCTCTAACAGTGGCTTATCAGATACGATAATATTGGATATAATATCCAACTACCTGGTCCTTCCAAACAGAATTACAGTCCCCCTTGTCAGCGAAGTGCAGATTGCTCAGCTGCGGTTTCCTATACCAAAGGTAAACACGTTTCTGTTACTAGTAATTATTAAGCATTTATTTTCTTCTGTAGTAGTAATTTCTGAGCTATTCGCATCTGTATGAATTTCAAAATATAGTTGTTGTGATAGTACAAGTTATCTTGAATCTCATTATTTAAATGACTCCATTTATAAACTTTTTAGGGAATTTGATAATAAAACCAGAAGGGATTTTTTTGTTTTGCTCTTTTACACATTATCTGTAAAGCACAGTTCTAGTTCAACTGTATAGATTAAAAATGAAGCAGTATATGTTTTTTATTATTACTGCATAGTGAAGTGCTTTTAACTTGGAAGTTTTTCCTACTTATTGCAACTCCTACCCAATGGCATGGCAGTTTTTAATACAGCAGGCACATTTCTGATCGCTAATGACAGTTTTTCTTTTCAGGAGTCTGAATCTGCTGTGGTTTTTCCCTGTCCACAATATGTCTATACTATGTTTTATTTTAAGGAAACTGCTATGGGAATTATAAAAATTTACACTGCTTAAATTGTAATCATACAGAGAGTTTCAGATTATTACATAAACTGAGCTTTTCGTTTTTTCAGGGTGTTGTAAGGATACATTTTATTGAAGCTCAGGACTTGGAGGGTAAAGATACTTACCTAAAAGGCATTGTCAAAGGCAAGTCAGATCCTTATGGAATCATTCGTGTGGGCAACCAGATTTTCCAAAGCAAGGTCATCAAAGAAAATCTCAATCCAAAATGGAATGAAGTTTATGAGGTATAATCAATAAAAATGTCTTGTAAAGTTGTCTTCTGTAATTTCTAAAGAAAATACTTTGTGTATTTCCTTGAGGAACTTCTTGATGTTTCCCTTTAAAAGCCCATTTTACAAAAAAATAGAAATTCTCAACTGTTGTATATACTTTTTGTCCAGACTTAACATCTGTAACTTTGAAAAACCATTTTGTCTTTTAATACAATCATTAACAGATTACTTCTGAAAAGCTCTTATACTTGCTCAACTCATAGAATTGTGTTTTAAAGCATACTATGTCAGAGGTTTTTTTGTTGATTGCCATTTGAAAAAAAGTCAGTTTTACCATTAACAGTGCTGTCTTAATGTAATTCCAGGCCTTAGTATATGAACATCCAGGACAGGAGCTAGAGATTGAGCTCTTTGATGAAGATCCAGACAAAGATGACTTCCTTGGAAGGTAAATGTTGTGGAGAATATGTGTGTAGGTATTGGAAAAAAATTGAATGTTTTGATGTAACCTTATTTTTCCCCTTTTCGTGTTTTATTGAACTTGAATTTCTTTTACATTATTGCATTTATAAATTACTTACATTTTTCAAATTTTGGTATTAAGTAGTTTGCTAATTATTTGGACTCTCCATGTATATTAAAATCAGAATATTTCGAGACATGTATATTAAAATACTGTGCCTGTGTATATATATACACAGATGTATGTTTACATATTTATTGAAAAAAAAAAAAAGGTAAGTGTTATCAATACTCAAAAAAAAAAAAAAGTGTTTTTTTTTTTATTTCTTTTTTTTTGTTTTTTTGTTTTTTTGAGGAATTGTACCCGACCTGTTTTAATGTTCTTAAGCTGCCATTAAGTACTAATTATTTAATTATTTCTTCAGGAAAAGTTAGTGTATCTTTATGTATCTTCTCATCTGCATAGTTTTTAAATGTCTAGCTCAGAATTTGTTTTTCCTCTAAGAGCTGATTTTAGCAGTTTGGATAAAGGAAAAATATTGCTCTAGTGCTTTTGCAAACATTACGCACTCTTAGGTTCCATAGGTCTACCTTTAGTGTTTACCCATAAACATTTCAGGGTTTTAGTCAGCTTCTTTCTCCAGTAATTTGTCACCTTTATTTCTTACAGAGTTTTGGAGCTTCCAATTGTTGCTTTCCATACAGAGTAGAACTCCCTTATCTTTCCAGCTCCTTCTCTCTTAACAGGAGCAACAGTACCTACTTCTCTTCTCATTTAAATAAAGAAGTAGGTAGTACAAAGGCTTCTTTTCTTTGCACTTCCCTAATCTTACACTGAAGTGGTGGGGGGTTGAAAGTGGCAACTCGGTCATGATGTCTGTATCAGTATGAGTAAAATCAAAAGCCGAAGCGAATGTTCGTGTGCCAGCACACATTTGTCTGCACTGTTTAATTTTGGCGGATTCTCTGGTACACTCTTGGCTTGTGCAAACTAGCATTCTTCCAGACAGTACTAAAGCATGAATTTGGTTACGTGTCCAGGGGATATTACCAGTTGCTAGTTTGGTTGTGGTCACTGTTTGGAGAGTTTTGTCATATGCCCGTGAGCCATATTTTGCTAGTTTCTCCCTTAGCTACAGAATGGGCTCTAGTATAGACATATTTTCTATCATTCTGCATTCCTTCTGGCTCAGCCATTTCATTTCCTACTTCTTTCTTTCTTTCTTTCTTAGGGGCTAAAAGAATAGTATTGTTCTGCTCTCCTATTCTCTCTGGAAGCCTGGATATCCAACAAGAACAGGGTGGGGTTTGAGCTCTGTATTTTCTTGGTGCTTGTCTAACACACCATATTTGTGGTTTTTTTCCCCCTAGTTTGATGATAGATTTAATTGAGGTTGAAAAGGAGCGACTTTTAGATGAGGTAAGTGTTGGTTAAGTTCTTTTTTTCTTTTTTTTTTTTTAAACAATAGAAAAAAAGGAAAAACAAAGAAAAAAACAAAGCCAAAACAGAACATATGTTGTACATTTAGTTCTTGTATTTTTTTTTTCCTGTAGTTGTGTGCTTGAATAACCTTAATGCTAGAGAAATAGATTCCATGACAAGCAGTGCAGTAGTTTAAGGATAGCTGATAGCTGAGAATGATGGCATTCTTATTTTTCTTGTCTTTGGAGTTTAAGATTGCCAATATATGAGTGCAGAAAACAGTGACTTAAGTGTTTAGTGAGGACACTTTCTTGGATTAACTACTGGATTAAGTACTTCTAGACTTAAACTAATTAAACTAATTTAGAAGAAGAAGGAATTTTTATCCTATGTGTAAGAGCAGCTTTACAGTAATGTTACTCAGGGTTTGTGTTTGCAGACCGGATTTAAAGAAATCAGAGAATTCTTTTGATATTTAAAAAAATGGTTTAATAAATCAGATCTTTTGAGGTATTTTTGGGTTTTGGAGATTTCAGCTCTAGTGATTTTTCCAGTGTGCCTTAGCATTTCCTAAACTTCCTGCAGAGCCAGCTACAGTTATGTATTTGTTTGGTGTCCGGTTATTTCACATTACTTTGCTTAACTTTCAGTGGTTTACTTTGGATGAGGTGTCCAAAGGAAAATTGCATTTAAAACTGGAATGGCTCACATTGATGCCAACAGCAGAAAACCTAGACAAGGTATTTAAGGAACACATTACTTTTCTCTTAGTCTTTTTTTCTTTTTTTTTTAATTTGTGTTTGTTTTAAATATGTAAGTAATTTATTCCCTAGTTGTAGTGAATTTGGAAAATCTCTAACTTTGTTTCAAGCTGCCTTTCTTTAGAAATCTCAAATGAGTCCTACCTGTCAGTGTACTTCTGTGGCATGGGATTTTAAAATGCTTTTTCACTTTTTTTTTCTTTTTTCTTAATCTTATGGCTTCAAAAAATCAGCTAAAAACGATCTAATTTCATTGGACTGTAGATAAAGCTGACAATATAATATATATTATCATATAATCTTTCCAATATATAATCTTTCCAGCGTGAAAAAAGATACTTAAGAAGTGAGATGGAGTTGATGGAAATACCTTCATCTATATGAAGTCTTAAAAAAAGGTGTTGTGTATTTATGTGCACTTGTGTACAGTGTGCATTTGTGAATGTTTGGGTTTGGGGGATTGTTTTTAAAATACTTTTCGGGAATGGGACAGAAATGATATTGTCATTATTTGATTTACAGAAAAGCTCACAGCATGTTTTTGATTTAGGTATTAACAAGCATTAGAGCTGATAAAGACCAAGCCAATGATGGGCTGTCTTCTGCATTGCTTATTCTCTACTTGGACTCAGCAAGAAACCTGCCCGTAAGTTATATTCTTGTGGATACCCTTTGTTCATAGGTATCTCTTGCTTATTTTCCAGCATGTCTTGCTTGGTAGTATGGCACACTGCTTCACTAACACACATTAAGCCATGTGTTCTACTTTCTCTCTTTTCAAAACGTGTAATGTAAGGTCCATATTTCTAGTAGTATGGTCATATATATATATATATATATATTTAATAAAACATTACTCTTTAATCAGCGTGATTTTTTCTTTAAAGAATGCTCCTTTCCTGGACTTGAAAGGCTGCATGTTTTTATTATGCAGTGTTGTCCATAAATAGTATGGGATCAGCTTGGGGAATTTTAAGAACTAACTGGGAAAAGGCCTACTCCCTTGAATTCAGGTAAACTTGCTTCCTTTGGTTTAGGCAGTCTGTGGTAGATTTGAAGGAAATAAAGTCCTTCAACATAAAATAACAGCTGTGTTGTTGATATTGCAGTGCCAGGATATTTGTATGAGATGTCTGTCAGGTTGCCATTTGAAATGATGTTTATTTGCTTGTGTAAATAGCTTTTTCAGCAAATGTTTGCAGGCTTTGTCATAAATTTTAGATTTTTTTCCTTCTTATTTTAAATATTTTGCAACATTGTCTCCCTCCATCAGAGTGGTTTGATTGCAAGCCTTAAGTTAACCTACTATGTGAGGCAGTATTTTCATGTCAGTGTCTTAATCAGTACTTTTGACTAGTAGATCTCTGAACTGTAGAGCACAGAAAGAGGAAATTCCTCACACACAGCCGACTAGTGAGGTAATTTGGAAACATAATCTCAAATTTCTTACTGCTGTGTCTGATGTTCTGCTTACAGTATAGGATTGCAGGGTTGGGGCTGGGAACAAGGATGGTCATAATGTGAGACCTGTTTGTCTCTTTCATTTTCTTGCTCTGCCAGGCCATGGAAGTAGTTGTTATGAAAACTCAGTATTTAGTTGCAAGTTATTCTCTGTCCAGTTATGTGTTATAAAGAATACAATGAAAAGTTGCAACAAAAATTAAAAATTACATTTACAGCAGTAAGAAATACAACATTGTGTTAAATTCACACTGTACAAAAAACAGATACAAAGAGGCTTTTTGATTAAGGAGTTGGGGTTAAAAGTACCATGGCTTGACTTCATCATGTGGCAGAACTGGAAAGTTTTCCATAGACTCTTTAACAGGAATAATTAGATCCTGCCAGAGAGTTCCTTAATAAAATGCAGCAAGTAGTAGTGAAGACAGCCTTCTAATGTCCATTAGTTTGTGATACGGAGCAACAGTTATGAGACTAAACATGGAAGTCTGCTAACTTCTCATGTTGTATTTGTTGACTGGGTTAATGTAGTAAATTTTTAATATATCCTTATATATAATATTTATACTGTATAATAGTAAAATTAACTGCTCATCAGGATTGCTTATATTTATGAGGAACAAAATTAAAAGACAGTGAATTCTCGCTTAAAATTATGCTCTTTATTAATGGCTTTGAGGACTTTTGTCCACGAGTTTTATGCTAAAATTGAAATATTTTCTGAATGAATAAGAACTTTTTATTATCTCCAATATTGTTAAGTTATTGCTGATCACTGGTTCGTTTTAGATTTGGCATTGGCCTTATTTTCTTTGACTTACAGTGGATCATTATCATAAGTTTCTCTTTTGCATCTTTATTTTCATCATAGTTGTGAACTTGTGAGCACTAGGATGATTTATCAGAAATACGTTTTATGTGGAAGAGAAATGCCTTAGAAGTCTGGTTGCTAAATTGTCTTAGTTGGGTCTAAGTCTGAACTACCAAGAGTGCCTCAATAAAGTGCTGTTAATTAATAAAAACTTTTCACCTTAGTGCACTTCAGAAAGTTGTTTAACAGATGAGACTATTCGTAATGACAAATATTTTTGTTATCTGCTGTTTTCTCTGGAATCCTTTGACTGTTTTCTTTAACTTTCTTGTGTAGTAAAGCTGCTTAAGCATTCATTCTGCCACAATCCCATCACTCTGCTTTCTCCTTCCATTTCCATCTTCCTAAGAGTATCTACGAGGGAAACTTTGGGTGTGGATACTTAAAAGAGAGGAGAGCATCGGGACTAGTCTTTTGTGAAAACACTACCTCACTCTATAGAGCACTATTTGTGAGTTCTCTGGTATTATTTGTATTGTACCTTTTATCTGCCAGAGTGTGGATTAGTGCTACTAAAGCCACTCACTCTAGTGGAATGAGAGCATGCAATTTGTTTTGCTGCATGGTTTCAACAAGTGTGCATTGTTTTTTGTGCTATTTTTCTTGCATTTTAAAGGCTATTTAAATTTCATTGGTCAGCATATCATTGGGTAAGTAACTTTTTTCTGATAAAAACCCAATATAAGTTTTGTTGCAAAAGCTCTTACATTTAACTTAAATTGCTGATTCATTTTGAGAAATAAAATGCATACTATCCTAGCACGCTGTGTGCTGGTCACTTGTTGGTTTTTACAGCAGAAAAATGAAACAGTACTAAATATGAAAACCAACATCCCTACCAGTTTTTTAAATTGTGATGCACTCAATATTTGCAAGAACTTGTAACCTCTCCACACAGGTTCGAGTGTTCTTTAAAAATTTTAAAACAGCTGTGATTCTTTGTGCATCACCAGACTCTGAAATTCCCTTGTAAATTCTGTTTCACTCCATATTGCTCCTTGTTTTGCAAATTCCCAAGCTACTTTTTATTTCATTTTTTCCTCCCCCCAAGTTAGTCTGTAGTCGGTTAAATCCAAGCTAGGGAGAACCACAAGTTAGTATTTTTTCCTTGAATTCAGCATTAGAAAATGATTGCTAACTAATGAGCCTGTGAATGCTTAGATCTGTAAACACAGCCATGGTATCCCCTGAAGGAATGAGTGTTTGTTCAGAAAAAGAAAACTCTTTTGCCAGAAAGTTAGTTAAGCCATTGTAGATAATGCAGATTTACTTTGTAGCCTGCTACTTTTGTTTCGCATCATTGATTTAAATGCACTCTTCTTTCTCAGAAAAAAAAGCAACAAAACAAAATCCTTTTTTCGGTCCTTTCAATTAGTTTCTGTATAGAAGTTCATCTGAAAGTATCAAAAGCTTTGCATCCATCACCAAAGTGTGTTAAAACTTAACATATAAGATATGCAGTTTATTACCATATATATTTATATTTGTGGGGAAAAACACATCGCATATAGATGTTGTAAGGATTCAAACAATATATTGTATGCTTCAGTTGACAACCGTTAAGCAGTTGCTGCTGTAATTATAACAACTACAGATAGATGATAAGAAAATAATAATCAGAATTTTTGATAAAAGTGAAGTCCTGGTGTTTTTGTCAATCTTAGGGTCATTGTATTACAAGTGTCAGGTGGACAGAATGGCACCTGTTCAGATAGAAGACAAAGCTTTCCAAATCCATGAAGCTCTCTTGGAGTCAGCATGGAACAGTTTTAAGATAGCCAGCTCTGAGTTTCCTCCAGCAGTGCTGTTACAGTGCTTGTCCTGCAGTGCATGGCTGCCAGGCTGGCAGCAAGCAGGGATTCTTGACTGCAGGGCAGGAGGGAAGAGAGGACTGGTTTAGGCTGGAGATAAGGGCTTCAGCACAGTCTTAGAAGCACACCTTGTTTTCAAGGACCTCTTTAAGTGTGAGGTCTAACACAAACATTTGCACCTCTAAATCCAGGTATATAATTGACATATCTGAGTTATTTATTGTGGGTGTGTATGTGCTTAGTGGCCATTAAAAAGGAGGTTTGCTTTATATGGAGGAGAGGAAAATCCAAAGTCCCGAGTGCTCTAATTCTAGATGTTTTTATTGATTGCTGGGGAACCTAGACTGAGAACTCCTAATGCAGATATTTACACATCCAAACCTGAATTATCTGAAGATAAGGAATTTGAGTAGTGTTCTTAGTATAATTTCTGATAATGCATAATGCTACTGTTATGATATCTTATCATTAGTTCATGATTATATTTGTTGTATGTATAACATAAATTATCCATATTTTAAATCAGCTCTTACAGATCAGTGATTGTCTTCTGGTCATCAGCTGAGATTTAGAAACTTCTAAAACAGCATTTGGGCCCCAGGCAAGAATTAGTGAGTTAACATAAGTAAGAAGTTGTATTCCAAAAAATAGCAAATTAGCATCTGGCTTAGTAATAAAACAGCTTGTTAGTTGCCACGTAATGTATGGGTTTGCTGTTAGGATTTACTGCAAATGTCATTGGCCATTACAGAATGCCAGCCAAACAATTTATTCCATTGTTGCAGGTATTGGTGTAGTTGTTGGATAACCATCCCCTTTCCATGTAATTGTAGAGACAGAACCACAGCAAAACAATTTTGTCACCCAAGACAAGTCCTTTATTGGCTTTCTTTACTGAATACTCCAGTTTCTTCTCATAGTCTCCTCCCTCCAAGCCTTTCAGCCCTCTTCCTCGTGGACCTGTAGCTTCTTCCCTTTTCACCCGAAGTCTGGCTTAAACATATTTGCCCCAGCTGATATCCCTCTTGGCCTGTCCTTACTGTGATTCCAGAGGAATTGAGACATGTTCAATAGCCACAAATCATTGGCTGCCTACCTTTGGGGCTTTTAAAATCCTTTGAAACAATAATATATATATTTAAAAAAAAAAACAACAACAAAACACGAAACCACTATTTCATGAACTTTCTTTATTATTTTTAAAAGACCTGATAAGGGAAATAGAAGTGGAAAGTGTCTATCTTAGTTTTAAAGCAGAGTACAAACATGCAGAAAGAACAGAAAGCAAAAGTTCTGTCAGATTTTATTTATTTATTTATTTGGGCGATTCCTTCATTGTTTTATTAGAAATACTGTTGTGGTCTTTTTTTTTGGAGTGTTTTTTTTGTTTTGTTTTGTTTTGTTTTTTGCTTTGTCCTGTGTCGTCATGTAATAATTAACCTAATGAAATTGCTTCTTTGCATGACTTTATTAACCCTTCCTATGTTCATTCTCTCTTGACTTAAAAGCATAATCCATTAGAATTTAATCCTGATGGCTTGAAGAAGTCTGCTGTTCAGAAAGCCCTGAAGGTAAAATTAACATAGTTGTCCATTTAAGGTCACAGTAGTAATTGGAAATGCACAAGTGCCTGCAACGTTTCTCTTCCAATGGTGGATGGAATTTCTTTAGAACAATTCAGTTTTATTTCCAGTTTCAAGAAGTGGCTGAGACTCTGGTGAAGTACTGTGGTCTGGGGGAATTTGAATTTTGCATCAGTTGAAGGGAGTATAGGCTGCTTTAGGAGATCAGTATAAAGTAATTCTGAGAACTGGTATGAATTAATACTTAAAGATCAGAGCTGACATGAAAGCTAAGACATCTTTGTATACTGAACAATGCTTCACTGATCAATTTTGAGTGACTAACCGGTATTTTAATGTGGTTTTGAAATTTTTCTGTTAGTTTTCAGAAGATTTTACATCATTTATATGAATGCTGAATAAATTCAACCCAGTCATTTGATATGGAACACATGGTGTTGAGAAGCAGACTTGGAAGGCATAAGCCAAGTTCTTAGCTGAAGAACTTGGACAATAGGCAAGCTCAGATAGTCTGAATATCCTGTCAACAGCAAATCTGCCCGTGGCAGATGTTAGTGGTACATCGTGTGTGTGTGTATATATTATTACCTATTCAGCATGAATTAAAATTGTTGCTTATTCTGATACATAAATAGAAATGGTCTTTTTGCAAACTTGGATAGTTTCTTGATTTTATGAAGAAAGGTAACTTTAGGCATCTTTTTATGAATGAAGTAAAAATGGAACAATTTTCACTTACCATTTTTAACACCACCAGTTAGCTAGCTTTCTTTGTATTCTATAAACCTTTGTGTTCCATTGTCTCTGATTAGAGCTACACTGTTTTGATAAGAAATCACAAAAAGAGATGCAGCATTCATCCAAGAAAGGAGTAATTTCCTACCAGCTTTTTTTTCTAAAGGAAAGTATTGTTATAAGCAGTCTGTAATGTTAAAATCAAGTAGTACTAGTGAAAGTATGATGATGTCAAAGATGTAAATTCAGATCCAAAAATATCTGGAATACTCTCATTCTTAAATTTTAAATTATTTGAATTTGTTGTGACCTTACATGCATTAAGCAGATCTTAACTAACTTGGTGTTTACAGTGCCTATGAGCAATTTCCTACAGAGTAGAGCTCAAAGTATATTATTAACCATGCATACTATATTTTCTAGGCCTTTAAAACTTCATTAACACCTACTTGAGATGATTAACTTTCATGTCTAACTTTCTTTCTCATGTAAATTAATTTTTTTTTAAATAAATATGTAGTTCAGAATGTATCTCTGTGTATATAATTTGATTCTAAACCCGTGTTTATTTTCACAGTTTGATGTAATGCTATACAGCTGGTGAGCAAAGCTCAGATATGGCAGATGATTGATACTCTGATAAAGAGAATTTGGTAAACTGTAGAAATATACATTAGGTACATTGTAGTGCATCTTCTTTTCCCCAAAACTGAAAAGGGGAGAATATCAATGTTCTGATATTACATCCATTTTAATCATTCTACTGCAGTATAAATAAAGTGAGCTTCCCAAGTTTGTGTTTTCTCCATATCTTCCATCTGCATGAAATTCTCATTTTGCAATGTTAACTATGCTTCATGGGTTCTGGAAGTTGTTTTAACGCTCATTTAAAGATAACAGTTTGCATTGTATCAGTTTCATCCAAAGAAAGCAGAAAGGAGTCTAAAACTCCTGTTTAATTCTAGTGATTTATTTTAGCTTACTTGGAGTAGTTGGACACTTTGATGTTAATGTGTTTTCAACTTACTAACGAGACTGCCGTTCCAGCCTGTTGAATAAAATTGTACAATATTGAGAATAGTAGATACACATATAGTAGAATGCAAATGATTTGTACTTCTGAGATGAAAACATTTAAGTTTCAGAGGAGGCAATTAGGAGGAGAGTTTATTCTGAGGACAAAGTTTTTGCTTTTTCTTTACCAGTCAGGAAAGAAACTAAACAGCAATCCCAACCCACTTGTTTTGCTGTCAGTTGGACATAAGGCACAGGAAAGTAAGGTAAGTTGCTGCTTTTAATATCTGGTTCTGTCTATAGGCATTTGGTGGCTCTGTTCACTTGGTTTTGGCTATGAAGTGGTTGAGTGCATTTACTGCACTAAAATGTGTCACCAGAACTGAAACTGCCAACAGGAAGCCAAGGATTGGATAAGTACTTAATTCAAGCTGTCCTTGAGTAGAGACCAGATTTATAACTATTTTAGATGTCCATTTGCAGTAGGTTATGATCTGCAACTGGGATTTCTATCATAGTGATTGTGTAAGTAAGACTGCACGCAAAGAGCAGGCTTCAAAAACACTCATCAAGATAAAATGTGTAGAAAGTTACAGAAATATCCAGTTTGGAAGGAATTTCTGGAGATCATCAGGATCAGTTTTATGAAATTGGTGGTTCTGTGTGGACGAGAAGCCAGCAATGTGCACTTATAGCCTGGAAGGCCAAGGGTATCCGAGGCTGCATCAAAAGAGGAGTGGCCAGCAGGGAGATGGAGGGGATTGTCCTTCTCTGCTCTGCCCTCATGAGGCCTCATCAGGAGTACTGTGTCCAGCCCAGGGACCCCAGCACACAAAAGATGTTGGAGCAGGTCCAGAGGAGGGCCACAGAGATGATCTGGAACACCTCTCCTAGGACGAAAGATTGAGGGAGTTGCACTTGTTCTGTTTGGCGAAGACAACGGAGGTCTCATTGCAGCTTTCCAGTACTGGAGGCGGAACTTATAAGCAAGAGGGAGACTGACTTTTTACACAGGCTTGACAGGGATAGGATGAGGGGGATGGCTTTAAAGGAAGGGAGATTAAGATAAGATATTAGGGGAAAAATTTTGTACTCAGATACAGTGGTAAGGCACTGGAACAGACATCCAAGAAATGCTGTGGTTGCCCAATCCTGGAGGTATCCAGGACCAGGTTGGATGGGCCCTGGACAGCCTGATCTGGTGGCTGGCAACTCTGCTTAGTGCAAGAGAGTTGAAACTGAACTGGCTTTAAGGTACTTTCCAACACAAGCTATTCTATGATACGATTTAAGGAGGATCTTAGATGAGCCTAAGTACTATGTAGCTGTCCTGAATATTTCCAGAAAATGACGTTCCACCACTTCTATGGCGACCTATTCCAGTGTTTAGTTGTTCTCATGGTAAATAATTTTTTTAATATATGTAGACAGAAATTCACCATAAGCACTTAGTAGTTTTTGTCTCTCATGCTGTCACTGTGTACCCTTGTGAAAGAGTACCCCCAACTGGTCAATAGCTGTCTTTCACATAATGGAATATTGTGATCCCATCGCCCTTGCACATCTTTGTCTCTAAAAAAAACTCAATTCCTTCAAACCTCTTTCATGTGTCAGGCTCTCCAACTCACTGATCATCTTTATGGTCTCCAAGTGGACCCTCAACAGCTGCTTTAATGGCTCTTAAATGAGAATGGGACCAAAACTGGTCACAGATTTAGACTGGATGTAAGAAAAAAGTTATTCACAATAAGGGTGGTGAAGCACTGGCACAGATTGCCCAGAGGGGTGTTGGATATCCCATCCCTGGAGACACTCAAGGTCAGGCTGGACAGGGCTGTAGGTGTCCCTGTTCCTTGGAGGGAGTTGGACTAGATGACCTTTGAAGATCCCTTTGTGTATTTTGCAAAGATAAATCAAAAAAATGTACTCTTGACACAAGCTTTATTAGACACTTTTTAAAAATAATTTGTCTGCTTCCTATGATTTTTTTCTCTAATTTTAGATCCGATACAAGACCAATGAACCAGTGTGGGAGGAAAACTTCACTTTCTTTGTACACAATCCCAAAAGACAGGATCTTGAAGTTGAGGTACGCTTTAGATATCTTTCTTTTCTAAGGCATTTCAGTAGCAATGTTCAGATGTTACAGGCTGTTATGACATGAATGTCATATTGTGAACACCATTAATTTTATACTTGAAGAATAGGCAATGAAACGTTCGTTTGCATTTACTGCTAAAAGTAAAAAAGATTATAACCAGTCTCTCAGAAGAACATAATAGTTGATGGTTGTCATATTTAAAAAGTACGAACAAAAGTAAATTTTGATGTCTGTTTTGAATCTTAACAGTCTTCTCAATTACAAGCAGGAATGCTGTTATGTATGGTTGATTTCTTTCTTTTCTTATACTGAGGAAGTCTTTGTCCAAATATCCCTTTTGCTGTCAACGTGCCATTTGCATCCTTCCTCTAACAATTCTGGGAATTCATTTTGTACAGATTGTTTGGAAACCACAGATCAGGGATCAATTAGATGTAGATCTGATGATTAATCTTCTGTCTTGCTTTTGCTGTAGAAGATGGAGATTAATAGGTGTCGAGCATATTTGCTATTGTCTTCTTCAGTGTAAATTTATGATCAGGAAAACTTGGCTGAAGAACTAACTATGTTCTGTATGCATTACTGCTTTTGTTTTTAAATAAAACCATTGTTTCCTTTCTCTGAATATTTCCAATTACGTGATGCCATATTACTTAGCTTCTGTGTTCCTTCAGGTGAGGGATGAACAGCACCAATGTTCTCTAGGGAACTTCAAACTGCCTCTAAGCCAGTTGCTGGAGAGTGAAGATTTAACGATACATCAGCGGTTCCAGTTGAGCAACTCCGGTCCAAACAGCACTATAAACATGAAGATTGCACTCAGGGTACTCTTAAAATGTTTCAAATTGTAAATATTTAAGCATGTTTACAACTAATATAACTTCTGGTATTCTAGCATTATGAAGTAGGTAGTACGTTTCCTTTTGTGTCACAACATCAATTGTAGAGTTAGTGGTAGCGTTTTCAGTCCTGGTTCACTGTTAAGTGAACACTTTGTCACTAGTACTCTTGAAGAAACAAACATGTTCCTCTTTTTTGTAGTATTTTAACATTGTATGTATTTTAACTGTATCTAGGTCCTTTCTCTTGAAAAGCAAGCCAGATCTCCAGATCATCAACACTCAGCACAAGTAAAAAGGCCGTCTGTTTCCAAAGATGCAAGAAAATCATCTTTTAAGCCTCAGGTTCCTGTCTCGCCACCACTCGATTCAAGCAAACATGCTCCAGCTTCCCCAGCGACAGACAGTGATAAAAAGACTGATGTGGCTGAAAAGAGTCAGCCTCCTAATGCGAGTCCACAATGGCCAACGGATCTCAGCCGAAGTTCCTCCAGTCTTCATGCCTCTAATTTCAATTATTCCCCCAGCCACCTCTCAGTCAAAGAACCAACTCCTAGCATAGCCTCAGACATATCTCTGCCCATTGCCACACAGGAGCTCCGGCAAAGACTACGGCAGCTTGAAAAGTACGATATTAATTACTTGTTTTTGCATCTAAGTTGCTTTTTTTCTTTTCCTGTAGTTGACAGGAATTCAAGCTCGTTCTTTTGAAGAATGGAGCTGTTGGACAAAGACCTAAACTACAAGCAAGTGATAATGTTACACTCACATGCTAACTTTTGTGCACTCTCTTCTTTCACATTGATAAAGCAGAAATTGAAATGGATAAATATTTTTCATTATGTACTTCAGTTGGATCTTACTGTAAATATGCTTTTTTAGAACTAAACTTTTGTTCTGCTTTTTCCCCCACAGCGGAACAACTCTGGGGCAGTCTCCATTAGGACAGGTACAGCTAACAATTCGTCATAGTTCACAAAGAAACAAATTGATTGTGGTGGTGCATTCCTGCAGGTGAGCATCAGAGACCAAATTTTATTTCTGTGCATGTTTCTTTGTAAACATTAGCATAGCTTGAATAACTCTCTGAAATTGATTGTGTGGTCCATCTTCGTTGCTTTCAAAATTACATGCTGGCTGTAATTGTGAATATACTAAGTCATACAGAGAGCAGTAAAAACTTTGTTGAAGACTTTGTTGTGATTTTTTTATTTGCCTGTATCTGATTGTAGTTTAAGATGGTGTATAAATTTCTATTGGTAGTATCTAGAAGCATTATAAAGAGCCTCGAGTTTTTCATAGAATAACAAAAATCACGGCTTTTTGGAAAGCCATGCCTAAACACTGAATTGGAATTTAAGAAACGTTGTATTCTCAGCTCTGCTCTCTGCCTACAGTTTTTCTGTTTTTGTACAAGTTACTGCTTGGTGTTTATTTATTTATTTATTTTTCACTGTTCTACATATCAGGTTGTACCCAATCTGCCCATACTATGTGCAGGATATTCCACAACTGATTTATGTGCTTTATTTCTAGAGATTTCTTTTTTCCCAGCAAATTTGGTATTTGATGCATGAGAAACACCAAAAATGCGTATGTAGTGATGAAAAGAAGTTTAAGAGTGCCAAATTAAGAGATAGTATGACATATTTAGCAGTGTTTCATTTATTTTCTAAAGCATTTTTCCTTGTTTGTCACTTGTCACAGAAATCTAATCGCATTTTCAGAAGAAGGATCTGATCCATACGTTCGAATGTATTTATTGCCTGATAAGAGAAGATCAGGAAGAAGAAAAACACATGTATCAAAGAAGACGTTAAACCCGGTGTTTGATCAAATGTATGTTCTGAATTGTGTGTGGTAGTTTTAGATCATATAATCATAGAGCTCACAAACCAAGGCTTCTCTACTTACCTAAATGTGTGAGCTGTTGGAACTCCCAGTTTTCACCACCAGATTTGGTCATACCTTTTTCTTCAGTTGTAATAGCTCTTCCCATCCTTCCATTCCCTGTTCTGCCTGTAGCCCTGCTCACTCTGTTACCAGCCCCTTCTCTCTTCTGCCTTACCCCATGTCTGTTACATGCTGCTTGTGCTGATAGCTAAGAAGCAGTGTGCTCTAGTTGGGCAGATGGTCAGCTAGAGGCTTTGGCAGGTGTACCTGGTAGTGCAATTCACTCCTATTTATTCCAGGTTGCTTTTACTGTGCCCTTTGAAGCAAAGGATATTGCAAAGCCATAAAGCTATTTAAGAACTGTAGTGACAAACAGATGTAGATTGTGGTACAGTCAAGTGCTAATTCTCATTAAGTTTCAGATCTAGAAAACAAAGCATATTCTTCCTTAAAAGTTGGTAGTTTTCTTTAGTGTGAAAACAAGCACTAGAGGAATGAGAATCAAGACCAATTAGTTTTTCTTTTCCAGAGAACAGTGGTGCTGAGCTGTCATGATATCAGGATACCTTTGCTTTCTTTACTTGTGTTTTACTGCTGGACAGAAGTCTCTAACATCTGATATTGATGTTGATTGAGTATTGATAATGATCATAGTATAGAGGAAAGTATTTTGGCAGAACTTTGGGACTTTTAAAACCTCGTTTATCTCAAAGCTTTTTCTCTTTTTCTGTGGTTTGCCAAAGGATTTGATTTTTGTCTGAATTGTTTCGCTTTAGGAACTGAATTTGCACTTAAGTTATGAAATTCTCTCTAAAACATCACTTTGCCTGTCAGATTTGATTTCAGTGTTTCCCTGCCTGAAGTACAGAGAAGAACACTAGATGTAGCAGTGAAGAACAGTGGTGGTTTCTTGTCCAAAGACAAAGGGCTTCTTGGCAAAGTAAGTTGAAAATAAATTCCTTTCATACAGTATGTTGTTATATAGAGACTAAAATCCTCTTGTGATGTGAGCTTGTTAGTGTTGAATGACTTACTCGATTCAGGGAGTAAGCTTTTAAAAATGGCTTAGATGTCAGGCTTCATGAAGGGAAGGAATAAATTGCAGAGGATGAGAGGACAGATATCAGACTGCAGGGTGGTAATCTTTTAAAGAATGTTAAGTTTTGAGTCTGGCAGTAACAAAAAAACAATCTTGCATGTCTGATGTAGTAATTATACAGCCAGAGAAAGAAAATAACCAGTAGAAAACCAGGGATATCTCAGAAAATGGTCTGACAAAATTGGTAGTCTTGAACACAGGTGGCTCTGACATGTTATTTGCAGTAGCGGTGAGAGTATAGCTTTTGCTTTATATCAAACAAGAAAGACAAGCAAGATTACACATTGTCTAGAAGCACACAACACATTTAGCTTTATTAATTAATGCTCTAGATTGTGAAATCCATGAAAAAGAACTGCTACTGGAGACTTTCCCAATACCAAAATACCAGCTATTGTGTTTTTGCCTTGCGTTTTGTAGGCACTCATTAAATCACTCTTTCCTACACACATGATTTGGGCATCCAAAAAGAAATAGGAAGTTCTTACACCCATGCAGATTGCTGTAATCAAGTTTTGTAAAGAGGATAAGATAGATCAGAACTGAGGTCAGTTCATGGTGGGTGGTATTCTTACATTTTTCATTTTACATGGAAGACTGTTGGCATAAATACATCATCTGATTGCTGTATGCCTGGTTCAGAAGTTATTACTTAAGGGTGCAGATTTTTAGGCCAAAGCTAGCAATTTCAGATTTCACTATAAGTCTACAGTTGATAGATATCTATGATGGAAGATATATAAATAGTAAAATATGTTGTTTGTTAATAGCATTACTAGTACTGTAGTTTTGAGGATTTTCAAATTTAGTCTTTAAAAAACTAGATAGAATGAAAGACAGAATGCATTAAGCACAAATTTAACTTTCCATAGGTACTGATACCTCTGGCATCTGAAGAACTTGCTAAAGGCTGGACCCAGTGGTAAATATAGTATTTCCTTTATTAATAATATTACCTACGAATAATTGGTGTGTTAACAATAGTGTTAATAACATACATTTTTTAAAAAAAAGTTTTCCTTTTTTTTTTTTTAAGGTATGATTTAACAGAAGATGGTACAAGACCACATGGTGCAAGCTAGGCCCATGGATGCTGGCAGTTCCCCACACCTACTTATGCCAACCTTTATATATTTTTAAAGCATTGTTCTCACAGATGTACCAATATTATTTTTATAGCTTTACCAATTTAGTTGTTAGACACATCCCCAATAATTTTATAACGCTCAGCCATTTTATGTAGACATATCCTTTCTCATTGTTAAACTTTGTATTTTAATTTGCTCAGCAATTTTACGTGTTACTGTCATGTGCAATAATACAGTAATGTAACCTTTTGTTTTTGATCTTTATGGCAGTTATACCAATTAGAAAGTGAAAAGATGTTCTGCTGTTTTCCTGCCTTGTTTTATATCTCACCAAGATATACTGTACTATGTAAATATATACTATTTTTTTATAATTCTTTCATGCTGGTTTGAATTCAGAAGAAAATTGGATAAAGGATATAGATATTTTCTTGTAAATGCATGTTAATTTCTTCAAATGAATCTCTTCTGTCTTTGCAGCACAATGGTCTTAATGTTTATCATTTTGTGATGGTCTTCAAAAACAAAGTGCAGAAAAACATTTTTACTTTATCATGCTTCTGGCCCAGCGTGGCAAATTTAAAATGTACAAAACATTAACATTTTAATATTTATATATAAATGTATTATTCAAAAATCATGCTATAGAAAATTATAAACAAAAAGGAAAATTCTATAAATATTGTATAAAAAGAGGTCCATGAATCAGTTTATAAATTTGAGCTTTCATGTAATGGAGTAAACATTACAAACAGTGGAGTTTTATTATACAGGTTCATTGGGTTTTGTTATTTATTCCTGCACTCTACAGTACTAGACACACTGCAGATGTGAGAACAGGGCTTTGTCTGTATTACAAACAGAATCTCTAGCTATTCAGAACTGTCCTTGCTGCCTTGTTTCTCTGATAAGGTATACAAATCAGCTTGCATTGTAAGTCATATAGTGGGCATATGTACAAAACATGTTATTTTTATTATCCACTGCTGTGCTAAATAGTTATTATGCTGTACCTTCTCTAATACTACAGTGGAACACCAGTATGTAAGAAAGTGTGAAACTGAGTTGAAACTGTCTTTACAGTTGCCTCACTGCTAATTAGTGTGTTTGGTGCATGGAGTGGTCCACACAGCTTTCTGGAGAAATCATGGCATTGTGCTGAAGCATTGCCACAATCTGCTGCAAGATCAGCAGTGACACAGTTAGCACAACCTGATGAAAGTAGACAGTTGGGAGTTGAAGGAAGAGTATCAGCCTTAAGAGCTGAGCTCACAACTATAGTTTTATGAATTAAGGGGAATTTTTTTGTAACCAGAACTAGTTTTCTTGACTGTTATATTAAAAAAAAAAAAAAGTGCATTATGAATCCAAGAGAACAGTTCAGCTCTTTCAGAGCCAGCAGCCTCCTTCTTGAATGAGTATGCAATTAGACAGACAAAGTATGTTATTTAGTTTAAGATTCTAGAATGATCTCTCAGCCAAGAAAGAGTTTTAAAGCAGAATAATAAACTCCTGAAATTAGCTTTATTGTAAAAGTACTGACGGAACCTTAATTCTAGATGTAGAATATGCCTACAAGACTAGATGTACCAAAGTGCCTACCATAGATGTAGCTTTTTGTCATTTTCCAGTTTAAGAATTTGACTCATTTCAGTTTGTCTGCATTTGGTTTGATGTGAACATTTGTCAAATGACATACATACATCTCTATACAGTGATGGCCTTCATATTGTCACAGTTTGAACAAGACAATTTTAGTAAACAAGCCTGATTGTAAGAAAACATTTCTTTTTGAAGGCTTCACTCTATATTACAGTGTATGAGAGTCTCTGTATATGTATACACTCATTTGTTCACATTAGATTCTCTTTGCTAGTTTTCCATTAAAATGTTAGAAATGGAAAGACAGAGAATGATTGTTAATGCAGCTGAGATGCAGAGAGCGAAAGCTGCTGTACCTAAGAGATGCACGTGCAGTCGTTCAGCACGGCTGTCTTTGCCTTGGTTCAGCCAGAGGTGGACGGACTTCAGTTCTGCATCTTGGCCAACGACTCACCAGTTTCATCCTGAGCCTACAGATAACTCTTTAGACTGATTTGGTGTTTCAAGGTGTAAGTGAGGTATGAGGACAGATGTTAGATGTTTCTGTACTTAAACAAAAAAGGGTGTGTATTTTGTCTTCTGAAGTCTCTAGAGGAAAAGATGCAGTGTTGGGGTAAATGCAAGGTGATATCATGAATAAGTGAATAAATTATATAGGATAGGTTTTTAAAATAGCTCAGGACCTCACATGAGGAATAGGATCTCAAGAGAAGTGCAGTTCCAAATTAAGAATCTAAAATAGATTATTATTTTTTTTTTAATTCAGCAACAGTATTTTCAACTGACAGTAATCATTTGTGGATGATTTTTATTTAGAAGTGTTCTCCCTTGTGAATTTGGATCAGAATATAACTGGCTGTTCTTGATAGTGGAATCAAATCTCTGTATCACAGTTACAAAGTTCTAAGTGTTCTGTTTGTATGGAAAAAGAAAGAACAAACACTCTTCCTCTGGACGGATATTGCACCTCATTATCAAGTCAATGTGTTTAGTATCAACTGATTTCTGTTCATGTAGTTCTTGTTTATTCTGTGCCTTAAAATATGAACATATGAAGAAGTTTAAGAAGTGGCTAAAACTGAGCTTTGTTACCTGTATGTATCGACATGTTCTCTACTGCTGAAACTGTTTTTAGAATAACTGCTTCACTGATGAGAAAACCAGCTCTCTTTTACCACGGTGGTATAACCCAAACTCAAAATAGCATGCATATCACGTGAGTTTGGAATAAAAGAATTTTAATTTTGTCTTGAATCCTTTATCAGAGCTGCAGCTAATGGTGAGAGTTGAATGAGAACAAAGGGTAATCAATTTTGTACAGATTGCCTTTTTTGCTCATGTAATTCTACATTATGATGCATGTATTTATTCAATAAATGGTTCATATGGAAGTCAGTGTGTTGCTTCCCTCTACACACACACACACACACACATTTATTTTCATATTCCTGTCATATTTGCAATATTATAAGAATTTCTTATGCTCTTAAATATAGTCATATATACTAACCACTGTATTCTTGGTAGCCTTGCTCTAGGGGCAGGTTGATGAATTTAACATAAGAGAAAATGAAATGAGAAGTGCAGAATCATAGAATCATAGAAAGGTTTGGGTTGGAATGGACCAGCCCAGTATGATGGGCAGGGTTGCTGCTCACCCAGTCTGCCTGCCAAGGGCTTTGAACACGGCCAGGGATGGGGCATCCACAGCTTGTCTGGGCAGTCTGTTCCAGTGCCTCACAGCAGGCTGAGGAAAGAATTTTAACTGGTAACATCTAACCTAAATCTCCACTGTTTTAGCTTAAAGCCACCACCCTCCTCCATCCTATCACTCTCAGATGTATAAAAAGCCTTTCTTCCTCCTTTTCATAAGCTTCCCTCAAGTACTGGAAGGTCTTCCCAGAGCTTTCTCTTCTTCAAGTTAAACAAGCCCTGCTCCCTCAATCTCTCCTTGTATGAGAGGAGTTCCAGCCCTCTTACATCTTCATAGCCCTCTCCAACAGCTCCACATCTTTCTTAGGCTGGAGACAATCCTCTCCCTCTCCCTGCTGCCACCCCTGTGGTAATGCAGCCCAGATACTGTTGTCTTCAGGACTGCAAGCGCATGCTGCTGACTCACACCCAGCCTTTCATCCATCAGGACCTCCCAGTTCCTTCTTCTCAGGGCCACTCTCAATGAGTTCTTCTCCCATTCTGTACATGTACTTGGGATGGTCCTGGCTCAAGAGCAGCAGGTTCACACGTAAGAATTGGTAGGCTCAGTTTAAGTGCTACTTTTTTTTTCCCTCTTAAAATGATTGATTAATTACATTCTCAGAATTCTACTACTTCCTAATAATTGTCATGAAATATGCTTTCAAAAGGATCAGGAATTGCATGTAATTGCCTTGGATTTGGAGCCATCAAATTTCTACATGGCATTCTTTCATTCCACCTGCTTGGAAATGCACATATTAGAAGAAAACACAGCTATGTACTTGATAAAGTAGAGAAGTGCCATCGGATCATCTATCTGTTGCAGAAAAATGGCTGTAGAAATGACGCTGTTTGTATTAAGTAATTGTAATAAAAGCCTCTTTCCTTAAACAGCTGAAAAGTGTCTGAATTCGTAGTATTAAGTTGTCATCATCTGTAGAGAAAAGCTGCAGAAGTTCATTACCTGGTCAATGCTGTATTTTGAAAGGACACTTCATTCGTACTAACTATAGAATTACAGGATCTTGTTTTGTTTGGTTTTCTTTTACAGAAGATATCTTCCTTTTTAGCAGAATAAATGGCTTCTGCTTATCATTGGGAGGACAGCAAATGCTGAGTAAAACCAGGCTCATGTTCATAACTCCATAACGGGAAGGTGTGCCTGGCTGGCAAACCTCCAGTCAGGCCCAGTGCTGTTCAGGTATCTCCATGTTCCAGTCTGGAATCCAAAACAAACCTTCCCTTCAGGTGGCAAGTGTGTCTGCACTTGGAGAGAATGCATACACAAGGTTTATCAGAGAGCAGAAATGATTACATATGACGTTCCAGATGGATTTAGTTGTTAATTTGACAGGCTCAGCCAAGACTAGACTTCTTAGAATTTCCTGCTGTGTTTAATCTGTTTTGGACAATCCTTTAGTTTGTATCTTAGAGCAGTTTCTGCCAATGTGATTACCAATAGAGTTGTTTGAGGTGTTTTCACAGCTAAGAGCTGAATCCAAAATTAGTTTCCTATGCTTTAATTATTTTATTTACCTATATTCTCCTCTAGACAAACTCTGATGGTACTTTAATATTTGGTAGAAAGAACCAAAACTTAAGGTGGTTCCCAGACCCATTTGTGGCTGTAGCTGACCACTGAAAGATTTGAACTAGTTAATAACAAATGCTTTTTTACTGCTTTTATACAGGTTAATGAAGTGTCTAATAATTGTATGCTCTTCTGCTAATTTCTAAGGGTTGCAGTTAGGCTGTCAATGTTCTCTGCCATCTTCTGAAATACACTATTTGAAAACTGCAAAGCAACTACAGTAAGAAATTCACTTTTATTTCTTTCAGTGTTATGCAGTGAGTTTAGCTGCCAGATGAGACAGCAGCTCTGGGAGCAAAGTTCTCTAATCTGTATTCATGTGATAGAGGTGATGCTCTCTGTTCTCACCATCTGCAGGGAATACTGCTTGCCAGTCACCTACGGTGGGATCCAATTTGAGCAGAATGCTGCAGATCTGTTTCTTCAGTTGCAACTGAAGTGAAACCAGCACGTCTTCCCCTTGTTCCTCTGCGTCCTCACTAGCCATAAACTTCACTGTAAGGACTACCTGCCACCCTTCTTCCCTTTAAATTCTGTATGGAAATAGACACAAGGACACAGAAAGCTAGTTGAGATCTTTTCACAATGGGGCTGCATGTGCCCACATCCCAGGGATGGTTCCTGCCTGGGGACAATGAGATGCACTCCTGATCATCCAACAGCCCCCAGAGATGGTATGCAAGCACTGACCATCAGAAGAAAGCTGTGACATCCCGGTAATCCAGCTGTCCCAATTTCATTCGTCAGGTGTGTGCTGAGAATCTGCTGGGTAACTGGGTCAACTTGTGTTGTTGTGCTGTGTTTAAGCAGTGTAGCTGATTTTAGCAGACGTTACAGCTTGATAACCTGCAGAGGTCCCTTCCAACCTGAGTTACTCTATGACTCTTCAATACATTTTCAATGTAAAGATCAATAAATGCATTCTTGGGCCTCTGCAGCAGGTCTTTGTGGGTATTTTGTTGCCTGTCCCCAGGTTCTTGGAGCTGAGCATGTAGCAACTCTGAGCACAAAAAAAATGGGGAAGGTTGCAAGCTTTGATAAGCAGGTTTACAAAAAAATTAGTAATTAAAAATACTATGCACAGAATTTCAGCTGTAACACAGGTAGTGCTGGCAAAGCAACAGCTGTCCACAGGTACTGAATGAAGATCATTAATCCTACTGGATGGCTGGGGCAGGATCCCTAGAACAAAAACAGGTGCTCAGATTTAATAGTTGTCATTTCCAACACTGAATTTCAAATGAGATTTTTTTATTCTTCAAGTGGGTTTGCAAACTAATGTGTTAATCTATAGATCCTCACAAATTGGCAAATGAAGCTTACCAAGCACTTCACACAGTTTGGTAATTTAATACTCTTCAAGACAGTTCTTTGCAGCCCTCAACATAGGAGAAATACTTTTGCTAATATTCCAAGTATTTTGCATGATCCACATTTGGTCTTTGGAAGTTTAGTTCATGTCATCACATCGTTTTGTTTTCAAACTAGTATTGCTAAGGTCCTTGCTGAGTCTTGTGCAACTTTGTTCTAGGTCATAGCTTTCAGTGTATTTAACACACACATTCTAGTGTGTGTTTTTAATTGGAAATATAAGAAATGTTTATTTTTTTAACATGCAATTTTCTTACAAAGCATTTTAGCTTTGCTTATTTTATCTTTCACAACGAGACTAAAGTTTTTGGATTTATGAACATGGTGCATTTTTTTTTTTTTTCTCCTGAAAACACTGTTACATTCCTCTAGATGGCATTGCAGGCCCTATTTTGAAAAGTCTTTGCTGCCTGTTCACTTCGTTTCTTGTACAGTAGTCAAGTGCCCTGGATTCTGGGCATCCTTGGGAGTGGAGCCTGAAGTCATCGTAGCTTTAAAGCAGTGAACAATGGGCATACTTGCCATGCACTCTGCTCTCCCTCTTAGCTCTGGAGCACGGCTAATACTTAAAGAACTGAGTTCCATCACGGGATTTGAGTGACAAAACTTGAAACCAGTCAGAGGAGACAGAAGTCAAATTACACTTTAAAACATGGGAAAAGTCCTTGACCATTACACTTGCAACATTATCAAGCTTTAGCCATTTATTTCTAATGGTTGAAGAATGAGGCTAGAAATTCCATCATGCAGCAGTACAATAAACATGGGAAAAATGGGCAAAGACAAAATTCTAATACAAAAATATATCTTACGAAAACAAGTGAGCTTGTAAGCACTTCTAAGTGCTCCAGCCATATCCCTATGGACTGGGCAAGCAGTACAGACCCCTAAATTCCCTATTTGTTTCCTTGTGAAGGAAACTAGACAGACAGTCTGTAAGAACAGTGCAATGGGCTTTGGTTAGGCTCCTGATCCAGATAAGGAACATGGGGAACACTCTCGTCTCAGCTTCGACAAAGCCAACAGTGATGTGAGAGACAAATAAACGCTGCTATGTTCTACAACCGATTAGTATGCTGTGTATATATAGATAGATAAACAGATATCCACACACACATATATAAAAATGAACATGAACATGTAAATCATGCTTGGTCCGATATTTACACAACGTATTCAAGTTTTCTATTGGACAGATGTTCCACCTGATAATCACATGTCAAATTAATCACATAACTTGATGATGCCTCTCTGTCACACTGAAACATAAAAAAGCTTTAACAAAATCAATAATAACAGTATTTTTGTACTACAGAAACAATTCTTCTCTTTATCCATATAGATTAAAATATCTGAAAGGAGAGGAACATTTACCAGAGCTGCTGGTCTCTAACAACTCAGGATGTTACATTTAGGAGGGTGAATGTAATCTAGGCAACAGCAGATGGAAATGGAATGTTTTACATCTGAAATAAGTGACAGATAAGTGTAAATGTACACATCAATATATAATAATCTGAAAGGTGTTTGTGAATTTATGCCATAAAATGGTGTAGTTATCATGAAAGGTAAAACTTCTTATATTTACGGTAGAATGGATTTAGCCATGCAAATATTGTCAAAAATAGTTTCTTTTTTGAGGGCATTCTATAGCATTTCAGAAACTACATGCTGTTCTGATTATTTATCAAGTATGGGAAGACAAAAAGATAAGGGCAATGGAGGCACGTAAATGATTAACAGCACACCTCATGGATGAGCAGATTCACAGATACTGTATTACCTATATTGTATTACATGTTCAATGAAAAATAGTAACAATTCTAATAGGTGAGCAGATAATTTGTGCAATAATATCATCGGATGTTATTATCTAGAAAATAACATTGTAAATTAAAAAAAAAGAAAAAGAATAATATAAGTGTCAAGAAAGCATCTGACACTCAGGGAATTGCTTGCTTGCTTCTTCACAAGCATTTATAATGTTGTCACATACAGGTTAAAACAGAATATTTGTGAAGTCCAAATGGTGATATTCTCCTGAGAGGCATCAGTAATTGAGATCTCTTACACAGGCTACCAACAAGAATAAAGACCAGTTTATGAAACGGTAGCACAAAAGCAAATCTTTATTTGCTGTTGCTCAGCAACCATGTATGGAAGGCCTATTTTTCATTTTTGCCTTAACTTGACTTGACAAGAAAATGATAATAAATATGAGATTATTATCAAAGGGTATAGATTATTTTGAGCAGATGAACAGACATGTCAAAAAGAGGCATGTAATTTGCTACTCGTGAAAGGGAGAACATTAGAGAAACTGAAAATAGGGCTGTAGCTTCATTACCAGCTTGCAGCTAAAGCATAATCCTTGAAAAACCCAACACAACCCTATTCTGCCTCTGTGCTTTTAGATGTGGCTCTTTAAAATGAATCATTGTTACCCAGCCTGTTGTTACCTGTATCAACTTTTAGTTTCAAGACCATGAAAAAATCATTCTGTGGTTGCTATGCAACACGAATTGTAAGCTAGAATATGTTGTCATTCATTTGCTAAATGGATAGGTGCCCGACTAAATAAACTGTAACCAGGTGACTACTGCAGCACCTAATTAAAGCCTAATCAAGGTATTAATGAAATATTCAGTCCACACAAGAGATGTGATAAACAAATCCATCAGTTCTTATCTAAAATGTCAAAGATTCTTAATATATGCAAAAAATTAGACATTAGCACAACGCATAAATGTCAGTTTTCATACTTTTTTATTTACTTTTGCTCCTCAACAAGTATGATAATTGCTCATGCAACTTATTTCAAGCAAATTGCTTCACAGGCCTCTTACACTTAGTTGAATAAGTGCAAGAAGAACCTTAAGAAACAAAGTCAGGACCATAGGGTTGGTCCTTCTCTGCAAAATTTTCCCTTCTTCTGGTATT